TTTCTGATGGCCAAGTAGTTGATGTTTCTGATGGCAAAGTAGTTGAGGTTTCTGATGGCCAAGTGGTTGAGGTTTCTGATGGCCAAGTGGTCGAGGTTTCTGATGGCCAAGTGGTTAAGATTCTGATGGCCAAGATGTTGAGGTTTCTGATGGCCGAGTAGTTGAGGTTTCTGATGGCCAAGTGGTTGAGGTTTCTGATGGCAAAGTAGTTGAGGTTTCTGATGGCCAAGTGGTTGAGGTTTCTGATGGCCAAGTGGTTGAGGTTTCTGATGGCCAAGTGGTTGAAGGCTCAGATGGCCAAGTGGTTGAGGTTTCTGATGGCCAAGTAGTTGAGGTTTCTGATGGCTAAGTAGTTGAGGTTTCTGATGGCTAAGTGGTTGTGGTTTCAGATGGCCAAGTGGTTGGAGGCTCAGATGGTCAAGTGGTTGAGGTTTCTGATGGCCAAAAGGTTGAGGTTTCTGATGGCTAAGTGGTTGAGGTTTCTGATGGCCAAGTGGTTTAGTTTTGGGATTGTCAAATGGTTGAGCTTTGAGATGGCCAAATGATTGGAGGCTCAGATGGCAACATGGTTGAGGTTTCTTATGGCCAAGTAGTTGTGGTTTCTGATGGCTAAGTGGTTGAGGTTTCTGATGGCCAAATGGTTAAGATTTCTGATGGCCAAGTTGTTGAGGTTTCTGATAGCCAAGTGGTTGAGGTTTCTGATGGCCAAATGGTTGAGGTTTGTGATTGCAAAGTGGTTGAGTTTTCTGATGGCGAAATAGTTTTGTGATGGTCAAGTGGTTGAGGTTTGTGATGGTCAAGTGTTTGAGGTTTGTGGTGGCTATCTGGTTAAGGTTTCTGATGGCTAAATAGTTGAGGTTTTTGATGGTCAAATGGTTGAGTTTTGTAATGGCTAGGTGGCTGATGCTTCTGATGGTCAAGTGGTTGAGGTTTTTGATGGCCAAATTGTTGAGGTTTCTGATGGCCAAGTGGTTGAGGTTTGTGATAGCAAAGTCGTTTAGATTTCTGATGGTCATGTGGTTGATGTTTCTGATGGCCAAGTAATTGAGGTTTGTGATGGCTAAGTGGTTGAGGTATGTGATGGCCAAGATGTTGAGTTTAGTGATGGCCAAGTGGATGACATTTCTGATTACCCAATGGTCGAGCTTTCTGGTGGCTATATAGGTGAGGTTTCTGGTGGCCAAGTGGTTGAGATTTTTGATGGTCAAGTAGTTGAGATTTCTAATGGCCAAGTGGCTGATGTTTCTGATGACCAAGTTGTTAAGGTTTTTGATGGCCAAGTGGCTAATGTTTCTGATGGCCAAATGGTTGAGGTTTCTGATGGTCAAATGGCTGAGGTTTCTGATGGCCAAGTTTTTGAGGTTTCTGATGGCTAAGTAGTTGAAGTTTCTGATGGCTAAGTGGTTGAGGTTTCTGATGGCCAAGTGGTTGGAGGCTCAGATGGCCAAGTGGTTGAGGTTTCTGATGACCAAGAGGTTGAGGTTTCTGATGGTCAAGTGCTTGAAGTTTCTGATGGCCAAGAGGTTGAGGTTTCTGATGGTCAAGTGGTTGAGGTTTCTGATGACCAAGTGGTTGAGGTTTCTGATGACCAAGTGGTTGAGGTTTCTGATGGCCAAATGGTTGAGGTTTCTTAGGGCCAAGTGGTTGAGGTTTCAGATGGCCATGTGGTTAAGGTTTCTGATGGCCAAGTGGTTAAGGTTTCTGATGATCAAGAGGTTGAGGTTTCTGATGGTCAAGTGCTTGAAGTTTCTGATGGCCAAGAGGTTGAGGTTTCTGATGGTCAAGTGGTTGAGGTTTCTGATGGCCAAGTGGTTGAGGTTTCTGATGGCCGAATGGTTAAGGTTTCTGATGATCAAGTGGTTGAGGTTTGTGACTGTGAATCATTTGGAACATATTATAAAACAAGTCACTCTATGTCAAGGTTATCGTAACTTTATTTCTTAAAAGACAACAGAAGATAAAATAGAGAGGCAAGCCAGCGCTGTTATAGATATCTGACTAGCATCTATATAACAAATAACATAAAATACAAAAAATTACAACCATAGTTTTCTCATAAAATAACAGTTTAAAGAATCTCTCATTCTTTCAACATTCTTCTATCCACACTAGAAGTAAGTGTTAGTATAAAGCACAAAACAAACAAGAACAAGTTTCACTGTAGTAAACCACTCTCACTGGTAGAAAATGTATTGTATGAATCATATACCCTGCACTAGATTCCCAATAGTTCTGTATTTCATTAAAAACAACAAAAACCCTACTCAAGCTACTTATTGTTTGAATCTGTTATGTGGTACATACTTGTAGCACTTTTCAAAAATCCCTTTCACAATAAATCAAATTTTTTATTTACCCTCTTGAAATTAAACAGTTAATAAAATATAATAAAATAGATATCCATAATCAATCCTTTTCTTAAAATAAAAAAGAAACAAAAAAGTAAAGCTTCAAAGTATCACTGAGATCTCTTATTCCAGTTATTCTTTTCATTCCCTAAAATCATTCACCATTTTTTGTGAAAGACGTGAAAAAGATAAAGGATAACATAGTGGTATGAAAGTTGATGCTCATAGGACAACTTTGTCATGACCAAGGTTAAAACTGTCCCCGGACGAGACAGAAAAATATTAGTATACCCATGAATCTATCATTATGCTGGGGCAATAAAAAGGCTTTTCAAAAATACCCTGTTGACTTAATACTTACAAATGTACCTTGTTAAAAAATAAATATTAATATAAAATTATGTAAGCTTAAGACTATCAAATTTAATTCAATATAAACTGTACTTAATTATTATTATTATTTATACATGTTTCATATGTATTCAAACAAACATAATTATATTACCTGTAGTATAAAATACAATCATAAAATGTATATTTTCTACCAAACATTATTGTTGTTAACAAAAAATGTATAAAGAAAAATAATTATATGCACCACACATATGTATATAATATTTATATCCTAGCAAAAACAACAATGTCTATCAATGAACTGTTTATCTAAGAGTGTTTGTCCCTTACCAAGAACAGTATAAAATACATTTTTGTTCAAGGGAAACAACTCACATAGAAGAGTTACTGCTCTTGATTGCTTTACTTGGTCAAATATCACACATAAGCAAAATTATTCTGGACATTTTCTATAATAATCATCAAAATCTGGCTGTCTTAAAAAATATTCCCTGAATAACGAGTTCAATAGCTGACAAAAAAATCAAACCAATCAAGCTTTTAATAAATACTGAGAAACATTTCATAATGCGGGAAAAATTAAAGAAATAATAATCTTCGATAATTAACTCTGCAAATATATTTAATGGAAAAAAATGCCCAATTAAGTAGTTAGTAAGTTAACTTACAAACATGCATGAGATAAATATATCATACTTTTCTTTTACTAGACAAAATAACATTTTTTTCCTTTAGTTCACTACTAAAATCACCGACAAGAAAATGTTCTGCTCCAATGCAAGCATTGTAAATCTACAACTTGCTGAATCTGTGTCATGGATTCACAAAATTTTCAATTTGAAACAGTCCATTAAAGTTAAAGGGATTTCATTATCAAAACATGAAAGTGGAGCTACATGTTCCAACAAAAAAATAGCCTGGTCAGACTGAATGGAAGTTCAGGCTTGGCTGGTCTATACAGGTCACAAAGGCATTATTTTTTAGTTCCAGCAGGGAAAATATTAACAGATTCTAAAATTCACTAAGTAATCATACAAGAATCTAACACAGTATTTTTGCCAATTCCAAATATCAAAGACAAGTTATACATAATTTTTTTAATGTTGGAGGCAGTTGTGACATATCATCAGTATTCAGAGAGTACTGTCAGACCATCTGTAAGTTAACTTATTCTGAAAGTCCTGAAAACTCACAATGGACTCTACCAAATTGAAATCAGAATAAGTTCATTGAACAATAAAGCAGGGCAAGAATAAAATCAGTTTTTAAAGTGCTGAAAGACTGATCATCACAAATATATGTTTGAAGTTCATGTTAGTTGCATTTATTTTTCTCTAGTAAACAAAATATAACTAGAACTCCGCGAGTCAGATGTGTCGCCTGTGAACAATGTAGTTTAGGGGAAATGGCCAGGACAAAAATGAAATATGAAAAATAACAAAGGGCAATAACTAAAAAAATAATAAGTGCAGAGCAGCAGTTTCTGTACACTGCACTTCTTATCAATAAGATCTATCATTCTATGATGTTTCAAGTCCATAGCTTTCATACTTGAGGAAAAATGACCAGGACAAAAATAAAGTAAGAAAGCAACAAAGGGCAATAACTCAAAAATAAGAAATGCTGAGTATCAGTTCTTATGCACTGCACTTCTTTTTAATGAAATCTATCATCCTATGAAGTTTCAAGTCCATAATTTTTTATACTTTCAGAGAAATGGCCTGGACAAAAATTAAGTATGAAAATAAACAAAGGGCAATAACTCAAAAAATAAGAAATGCAGAGTACCAGTTCTTGTGCACTGCACTTCTTTCTTAATGAGACCTATCATCCTATGAAGTTTCAAGTCCATGGCTTTTATACATTAGGAGAAATGGCCTGGACAAAAATAAAGTATGAAAATTAACAAAGGGCAATAACTCAAAAATTAGGAAGTGCAGAGTACTGGTTCTTGTGCACTGCATTTCTTCTTAATGAGATCTATCATCCTATGAAGTTTCAAGTCCATAGCTTTTTTAGTTGAAGAGAAATGGCCCGGACAAAATTAAAGTATGAAAATTAACAAAGGGCAATAACTCAAAAAATAAGAACTGCAGAGTACCGGTCCTTGTGCACTGCACTTTGGGTTATTGAAAAAAGCATGCATACCAAGTTTGAAGTCAATCAGACTTATAGTGACTGAGTTATGCTCCGGACAAGCTTTAGCGGACGCCGACAACGACAACGATGCCGACACAGACGCCGCCGCCGCCGACAAAAATAACCCCTATATGTCACCTTTTGAAGGCGACACAAAAACTGATGCACTTAATCACTTAATTATCTAGCACACAAATGATGGGATTAAACAGCAACAAGTTCAACATCTGCTATTTAAAGAAAGGATGCAAATCTCTCATAATGTAACAGTAAAATATAATACAAAAAAATAAGAATAAAAACAACAAACAAATCTTTGTTATTGTCAAAAACAAAATAATGTGTTTGATTGTCAAACACAAAATGTTGATACATATCTTGCTAAACCTATCGTGCAACTGTATTTTAGAACAATTTGCTATCAAACAAAAATGAATGTAACAAATCTTTGTAGGGTTTTATTTTTAAGATGAAAAATAAATGTTGTATTGTTAAATATATTTAAAACATTTCTGGTTCCCTACTCCAAAACAGAGCACATAAGGGTATATATATTCTGTAAACAAACATATATGTAGTGAAAAGAAGAGATTTTACAAGGTTTGAAGGCAAATTAAAAGTCATCAATTGAAAATAGAAAGTAGTAAGAGAGATACAAAATAGAACTTTTTTGCCTTAACAATAAGTAATGTTTTTACTACCTTACATTCAAAGTTATGTTGAAAAAAACATAACAGACGTTCATTTCAAACATATCATTAGAGCATTGCTAAATACAGAGCTAAAACAAACAAATACATTAAAACTTTGATTTACACTTTATGTCTTTTAAATTTTAATGTGAAACAAAAAAACTGTAACCAAATTGAGATGAGACACTTATATAAATGATATTGAACACATGAAAGACACTTTTAAAATCCTTGGTTTATATTCATTTGGTTCATTTTCTCTTCTTTGGCTCTTCTTGTGTGATATAACTAAAAATAGAAAATAAAGCATCTGATTGATATAGATTTCAGGTATGCCAACACTAAAAGTGCAAATGGTGCAAGAAAATGTATTTTTATGGTACAATTCAACCATAGCCAAATAATTCAAGACAAACTATAGCTCCATGCACTCACAACTAATCAACTAATACCATAAAATGGGCAATGTAGGTATATTACTTAACATTGATTATAATTTAGTAAAGCATATTACTAGATATTTGATGAATTCAATTTTGTATTTTAGTAATTATTCGAGAGCATGTGATAAAAATTGGTAGATCTCTTCCACTGGAAATTTCACTTTCACGGATATCAATATTATACACATTCACATATATATTATTAACTTATTTCTTCTTGTTTTTTGTTTGTTTTTTAAAAAAAGAATAGAAAAAGAAAAATACTTACTGCCCTTTTTTCTAGAAATTTTGAAGTAAATTCTTCTACATCAAGCTTTTCTGTAAAGGAAAATAATATCTTCATATAAAAAAGAAATGAACAAAAGAAAAATACACAGACTAAGATTAAATGTGAAGAAAATTATATTTTATCTTGATGTCTTAACACTTATAATACTCTTTACTACACTGACTAAAATTTTTCATTGAAGTGTTTGTATTTTGTGTATATTAAGTGTATAATTCGAAAAAAATTAATTCCTCACTTTTATAACTGTTCTAGCTGCCCCTTTCTTGGTCCTCAACATGTACAGACAAGAGCTGTTTAAGGAGCAGCACACTCTACTTGGCTCAGTTTGTGATAACATAATAAAGTAAATGATCATAAATGAAAGCTTAACCAAAAGTTTTGACAAACGCATACACTGCTGAATGAGTTATGTCAATAGCTCAGCTATCAACTACGAAAAGTGGAGCTAAAAGTAAAGGCTTCATCTCTTTAATTGTTTGTTTGTTTGATTGGGTTTTACGTCACACCAACACAGTATAGGACATATGGCGACGTTCCAGCTTTACTGGTGGAGAAAGACTTCAGGTGCCCTTCCGTGCATTATTTCAGGCACAAATGGGCACCCGAGTAGAACTGCCAATGTTCCTTAAGGTAGCTGGATAGCTTCCTCACATAAAAGAATCCAAAGTCCCTGTCTGAAAGCGAACCCACAACGATGAGAGGCAAGTGGTTTGAAGCCAAAGACCTTAACCACTTGGCCGTGGACGCCCCTTTTCTCTCTAATAACAGCACTTACTGTCTAAAAAGTCTTCTACAATCTTGTCTGACTCTTCCTCAGCCTCTAAGATAGCAACCTTGAGATTATTCTGTATAACACCAGGATGAAATTGATCCATCAACGAACATTGTCTTTCTTGACGGGTTTCAAACTGAGCACGCAGGGTTTCGAATTCCTGCATCTGAAATTACAACCAAATCTTCAACAAATCATACTTGGATATTTCTGACCTACATACCTTTAGTCAATGTCCTGTTTGACAGCTGCTTCATAAATTTTGCTTATATTAAATAGTGATAAACAAAATGTTTACTGTATGATCCAACAATACTTATGCAAATCAATTACTTACATTGACAATATCAATCTTTAATAAACCTTGTCCTCATAAAACATACTCAAACCTGGATTGGTCTTATATTCTTTTTTGTTACATGAAGGTTCCAGTGTTCTAGTAAGCCTAGTAACACTTAATAAAAATTTGAAAAATTTAGACAAAAAAAACCCCAATAAACTTCTTTCTTTTTTTGCATTCAAATTTTTTTCTTTTCAATTTGCTAAACTATTACATATAAAACTCACCATTTCACTAACTTGATGTTTCAGATCTTCTATCACAGGTTTTTTACTCAAATTCTCTTCTGCAAAAACAAATAAGCTATGTTTTATAGCACAAAAAAAACAAAATTATAAAGTCTTTATTTCAACAGGCAAAGATTCTAAAAATTCCTGATGATTTTTCATCTAATGCTCCATAACAAGATTTTGTTTCTTGTCGTGTAAGACATGCTTACACTGTAAAGGTCATAATGGTGACTTTTAAAGATTACTGGCAGAAGATGTCCCACAAGCCTATATGCATAAAACCAGCACAGGCAGGCATATGAGTAAAACATCTGAACTTTCAAATGCTAGCTGGGTAGCTTTATTACATATAAAAATCTTTAAGTTCTGGTGGAGAGATTTGAAACCAACACTGGACAGGGGCAAGTGGTTCAAAGTCAGCAGCTTACCATTCGAGGAAAAATCTGAGTTTTTTTTAATTTTCCAAATGAATTGTCCTTCACATGCTATATGGTAAAAGATATAAATGAAGCTGGAGTATAGTATAATGTATATTTGTGCTGCAAATTCACGATTTTCAAAGAAGGACTTACAAACATATCATGTCTTGTAAAGAAACTAGAACTATCACTAAATGTGATTAATACCCCCCGCAAGACTGCTTCGGAAATGAGGATGTTACTAGTAACAGAATACCTTGTAAAGAATTGAAATAGAGTTATGGTTGTGGGCAATTAAAGATAGTTGTGGTTCTTGTATGTTGCATTTCCTTTCAATGTGGTTGGCCATTGATGAAGTTTTATTGGATTACTCTGTAATAAGTCCAGAAAGACAAGGAAAAGGAACAAAGGGCAATAACTCTATAAATACTGAAGATTGAGTTATGGTTATTGTACACTGCACTTCCTCTCATTGCGCTTGACCATTGTATGAAGTTGTATTGAATTCCAACTACTAGTTTTCAAGTTATGCACTGGACAAAAAAAAGTAACAAAGGCAATAACTGTAATTAGTCCAAATAGAGTTATTGTTCTTGTGCACTGCACTTCATCTCACTGCCCTTGACCATTGTATAAAGTTTCATTGAATTCCAACCATTAATTTTCAAGTTATGCACTGGACAATAAAAAGTAACAAAGGGCAAAAACTTTTAAATTAGTCAAAAAAGAGTTATGGTTTCTGTGCACTGCACTTCCTCTCAATATACTTGACCATTGTATGAAATAGTTTTGAATTCCAACAAGTAGTTTTCAAGTTATGCTCTGGACAAGAAAAAAAGCACTGGAAAAGTAACAAAGGGCAATAACTCTATAAATACTCTGGACAGAGTTATAGTTCTTGTGCTTGACCAAGTTGTTTTGAATTCCAACCAGTAGTTTTCAAGTTATGCTACGGACAAGGAAAAGTAACAAAGGGCAGTAACTCTGTAATTAGTCAAAATGGAGTTATGATTCTTGTGCACTGCACTTCCTCTTATTGTGCTTGACCATTGTATGAAGTTGTTTTAAATTCCAACCAGTATGTTTTAAGTTATGCTCCGGACAAGGAAAAGTTTCAAAGGGCAATAACTCTGTAATTTGTCAAAATGGAGTTATAATTCTTGTGCACTGGATTTCCTCTTAATGTGCTTAACAACTGCATGAAGTTGTATTGAATTCCAACCGGTAGTTTTCAAGTTATGCTTCAGACAAGGAAAAGTAACAAAGGGCAATAACTCTGTAATTAGTCAAAATGGAGTTATGGAACTCATGCACTGCACTTCCTCTCAATGAGCTTGACCATTGTATATATGCTCTGACAAGGAAAAGTAACAAAGGGCAGTAACTCTGTAATTAGTCAAAATGGAGTTATGGTTCTTGTGCACTGCACTTCCTCTCAATGTGCTTGACCACTGTATGAAGTTATATTGAATTCCAACTATTAGTCTTCAAGTTATAGTCAGGACAAAAGAAAGCAATGGAAAAATAACAAAGGGCAATTACTCTGTAATTACTTTAGATAGAGTTATGCTTCTTGTGCACTGCACTTCCCCTTATTGTGCTTGACAATTGTATGAAGTTGTTTTGAGTTTCAACCATTAGTTTTCAAGTTATGCTCCGGACAAGGAAAAGTAACAAAGGACAATAACTCTGTAATTAGTCAAGATAGAGTTATGGTTCTTGTGCACTGCACTTCCTCTCAATGTGCTTGACCATTGTATGAAGTTATATTGAATTTCAACCATTAGTCTTCAAGTTATGCTCCGGACAAGGAAAATGCAACGGACCGCTGGACCGACCAACCACCGGGTGACTCCTTTAATACCCCTCCAAACTTCGTTTTCGGGGGTATAATAAAAAATTCACATTTAATCAGCTTTAACACCAGCTTTTTCTGGTACAAAAACAAAATTCAAGTAACTGGACAATGTTATAGTTATCTGGAAAAAAACAGAACTTACTGGCTAACTCTGTACATTTACAAGACTGTTTTTCTCTTTCTGTCACAACTTGCTGAACTTCTGGCATGTTTTGAATCAATTCTAGCACCTTTTCTTCCTCATTCAACAGTTCTAACATATCCATACGACTGTAATTAAAACATAAATGCTAACATAAACACTTGTCCTGATAATTAAGCATAATTTGTAATTGTTTTATTGTTACCACTTTTTTAATACTTTCCAATTCTACAGAACTGGGTTGTTTGAAAACAAGATGTGTTTATCAGACAGCATGCTTTGCTATTTTCAGTGCTTGACAACAAAAGGGTCCTAACTCTGTGGTAAGGTAATTTAGAGTTATGGGACCTATGTCTATCATGTTAGATAATCACAGAGAACAAATGTGTGAAGTTTCAACCCAATCCCTTCAGTAGTTCTGGAGATACCAACTTGCAATAAAAACTTAACCAAAGTGTATTGTTTTTGTTTAGTTTTGGTGCACTAACACAATGTAGGTGAAAAGATGATTTTAGCTGACCTCGGGAGTTACAAACACCAGGGGTAAAACCATCTCACCTGCATGAGCTAAGAGATGCATAGACTCCAGTAATTCAAACCCATTTAGTTGCAAGCCTTAAAGGCAACCCCTAAGGTACATGGGGATAACCAAAGTGTGATGGCAACACTGATGCAGCGGTGAGTACAATAGGTCTCCCTATTCTTCAAAAAGTTGAGCTAAAAAAACAAAACAACAACACTAAAGCTTACAGTAACAAAAGATTAATTATAATGATAAAAAGCATTGTAAAAGTTTACCCTTTATCTTTGAGGTCTGGAAATGTTGTTGTCACATTGGTTTGACTAAAATCAGGAATGTTAGTATCACAGTTGGCTTGTGGAGTTTCTGATGATGCATTCTACAAGGAAAAGAAAGAAATGTAAAACACCACAGCTGCATAATAGTTTTTCATATTAACAACAGATACTGTACAGCTTTTTATTTAAACAGCTACTGTATAGCTTTTCATATAAACAACAGATACTTTCCAACTTGGTAACTACTGTGTGAGATTGTATGACCTTGACCTTTTATGTGTGTTAACCAAAAAAATAAAGAATTGAAGTGCAGACTTGTATGTCCTTGACCTTGTCATTATAGAGTAAGATGTAAAAAGTTGAATTACCTTGTCTGTTTCTATGTGGCAAATATTCAAACTCAACATGAAAGAAGATGCAAAAGATTGTAAGGCTTTGACCTTTTACACCGACCTTTCCATACATAATTCAATTACTCTTACCTGACTAGAAGAAGAAGTTAAATCTGTGGTTGATGTTGATGATGAAGGTGATGTGTAGGTTGGCATGGAGGGATAAATGCTGAATATGTTGGTTGTTGTTGGAAACATTGAGGGGTATCCTCGAGCCGGAGGACTCGCTGGACTGAAAAAACAACAACAACAAAATAACATTAATTATAAAACATATATCTAATGTTGACAGCGATTAAGAATTTGATAATTTGAAACATTAACTGATTACTTTTTAACTTAAATATAAATTTTTTGGAATGTTTATTTTACAAATACAATAAAATAAAATATACATCATTGCTAAATAATCATTTTAACAATTGAAACAGAATCACAATCGTGAATGACCTAATGTCAAGATTGCTTTCAATATTCCAGCATTGGCACAGAAACTTTACCAGTGATACTTTATCTATATATAAATATATAAAAATGCCAATGCATACATATAATAAGGACTCACACCAGGTGAATGATTTTCAGTTTACAATTTTTGTAGGTTAGGTCAGAGCCTTTCCATTCTAGAACCACTAACATACATACATGTAAAGAATCAATACATTGGACCTTGAATTAAAAGACTCATGGGCAAGATTTGTAAAACAAGCATTTGATAGTATTGCGGGCAATACAGTAGTCCCCTACCGGTCCCTCAAAAAGTTCTTTAATTGTCATGCACTCCTGTGTATTGCCATTTATAATGAATTTGAGGATGAAGTCTGTATTTGAAAATATCAACCACAAAACATAATAAAATAAGTTTGTCTATATCACAGTAATGTGTTAAGTTTCCATGCTTAGTAAGGAAATTATGTTTATACAACCTTGTCATATTATTACGATGTGGGATTTTAAAGTAAATCCTATAAGGAATGAAGAAGTTGGAGTGAAAATACCAGTTTCTCGAAAAAAATCTAAGTTCAAGGGGGACATAATTCTGGAAATAGTCTTGCTAGAGTATTTAACCTTCTCAAAAATGTCGAGTGATAATAAGAAACATATATATGAAGTTTGAAGTAGATACATTAGGAAATAAAGAAGTTATTTAAAAAAGACAACATTTTTCCCCCTAAAAAATCTAAGTTCAAGGGAGGTAATACTGATATTTTTTGTGCTAGAGTTATAAACCTTGTCACATATGATGTGGTTGATGACCAGAAACTTATATTTAAAGTTTGAAGTAAACACCTTAAGAAATAAAGAACATATAGTGAAAAAGCTGAAAAATTTAAATCAGAAATCTTGAAATTCAGGCTATTTGTTGCCATAGCAACCAGAATTTTCAACATAGGAAGAAAAGAAAAAGATGTGCATAATCTCCAGACTGCCATCTACCCATATTTCAAGTTTCATAAAAATATTTTCAGTACTTTTTGAGTTATCACTGGATCCAGTTTACGTGTTAAATTTGCCATATTTTCAGACTATTTGTTGCCATAGCAACCAGAATTTTCAACATAGGAAGAAAAAAACAAGACGTGCATAATCTCCATACTGCCATCTATCCATGTATCAAGTTTCATAAAAATATTTTCAGTACTTTTTGCGTTATCGCGGGATCCAGTTTTGTGGACGGACGGACTGACGGACTGACAGACAGACAGACAGACAGACGGACAGACGGACAGACAGACAGACGGACAGACGGACGGTAAACCTAAAGTCCCCTCCGGTTAAACCGGTAGGGGACTAATTATAGATTAGGTGGATGCATGTATGGACAAGGGCAAATCTAAAATCCCCCCTCCCATAATAAATGGCAAGTTATCTATCTTTTTAAAAAGTCATAGGGGCTTATAAATTTAACCTGTCACAGAATAGCATAAAGCTTTGTTCAGTATGGACAATTTCTTTGGTGAAAGTAGGTGAAACATTCCCTGGAATCATGTAGACTTGATAACCTGATATTTAATGGTAATTTTCACAGTGTTCTAGCACTAAATTGAAATTATGAATGCCTGAAGGTGGATTAAATTTATGCTGGCCAGTTCTTAATTGCGGTTTTTGAGAGCTTCGCACAGCAAGCCACAGGGGGTAAACAACTAATCTTTTAACTGAATTAAATTATTGCCGATAAGTGTTGGTTGGAATGGGCCATAAAGATTTAACAGAGGATTAGTGCCACCATTTTCAGTATATTGCTATATTGTCTGGGGATAATATAAGTGTTCTAGAATAATTAATAATAACTTGATAATAAGAATGCATAAAAATGAATTATTTCTTGCTATGAAGATTATTTCAGATTTTTCATTTTTACTGGGACATAAATCATCTTTGAAATGCCCCCGTGACAGTCAACTAATTTTAGGACAGTCCCAGACGTCCAGAACGTTATGGCATGTATGAATACATGCAAAGTTGCAAATGAAAATGTATTTGTCTACTATATTAATTTCATATGTGAAAAAATAAAAGGGCCATAATTCTGTCAAAATTGACAAATCACTAAACCTGGATATACATGATTAGGGGGACACTTAATGACAAAACTTCTGTAAAAGCTCGGTTAAAATCCTCTAAGAAATGTATGAGTTGTCCATAGAAGGCATTATTTACGCCTGCAGACATTCAGTGATCTAAATATAAATTTAATAAAATCAATGACTTACTATGGAACATGAGATACAAGTGCTGGTGGATTTGTCCTGAATTCATCAACCACAGATTGGACAGCAGAATTCAGACTAGAATGTACAGAAAACTGGAAAAAAAGCAAAAAATTATTATCCAGAGGATTTCTATTAATTGTTAGCAAAAGCATTTTCTACTATTTCTAAACTCCACTTGCTCTTGCTTGTTGAATATCCTGTAACTCATTTTTTTATGGTTTTATATCAGAAATATAATGCTCAAATAAAGATTTATCAGTATTGTAAGTTCCAAAAAGGATTATTTGTCAAGATAGTACCGAATTTACATTTCATGTAAATAAATGGAGGTAATAAGAATCTATTTTCTATAAAGTCTAAGTCAAATTTTTTCAATAAGAAATGAATGCATATATTTTAATGATTACATATAATGATGACAAATATTTGCAGTACATATTTTACATATTCTTTGATGTTTAAAAATTGTTTTAGAAGCATTATTATATACATACAAAATTTCACTTAAATGTGGTTACAGCCTTAATTACAACATACAGGATCTTTAATTCAATATACATGTACATACATGTATATTTTTATTCTATATTGTTTATATCCTAATTTCATTTAAATTAAATTTTTTTACACCACATCCATAATAAATATAGCAAACATAAACTTAACTTGGTTAACTCTTTATGCTTTCTTATCTAATCCATAATTAATACTTTTTTTACTGAGTTTACTGGTATATCCAATTCTAGAACAGAACTTACTTCATTTTTATACAACTTTGCTCTTGTCTCTATGCTTTTATTTCTTAGGATAAATGTAGCAAATAGCCACTATACATCTTATGAAAAAATTAAAAAACGGGTTTTTCAAAATTTAAAAAAGCCGTGTTTAAATAAGATTTAAAAAAACAAAAGTTTAAGGAAAATATAAAAATTGTTACATATAGAGCAGCAAAAATAAATTTAAAGGGTTTTAACAAAAAAAAGAAAAATTTCCAAAGAATACATTTTTATTATTTGGAAATTTTGAAATTTGAATTTGGCCAATTTACCCCTGGATGTCTTTTACGCTGGTTTTTAAGTTTTATTGGTTTTTCTTGTGGAAAATTTTGGTTGGGGATTTTTTGGGAAAAAACAGTGAACGTTTAAATTTTTTTGGGTTTTGGGTTTTTTTAAATCACTTTACCCTGTCTTTTGATGACTTCCTTTTGGTTTACTCTTCCCGTGCATTTTTTTTCAGGCCCTGGAGGAAATCAATAGGAAAACACCCAAAAATTCTGTTTAAACTAAACTGGAATTTTTCCCCCACGAGAGTCCAAAATCCAAAACAGGTTCAAACCCCCAAAAGGTGAAGTTAGGGGATTTCAAAAAAAGCATTCGTAACAATTTGCCAATTTTTCAGGAGACCCCCCCAAAAAATTACAAAAAATATTAAAAAAATTGCAAAAGGAAAAGCTTTTTTGTTTTTGCTCTCTTTTTGATTTTAAAAATTTTTTGCCCTTTTTTTTTCCCCATTAAAACTTTTTGATCTCAAAATCATTTACAAAGTTATGATTTAAAAATTTTTGTTTGTCTTTTTCAAAGGTAAATGGGTACAGAAAAATGTTTTTTCGTGTTTTATCTTGAACCTTTAAAAAATTTACCCAAGAACCCCCCTAAGTAACCTCAAGGGTTCCAAAAACCCCAATTAAAAGGGTTTTCTTCCCTTTACAAATTAGGGGTTTTAAAAAGGGTTAAAGTTTTGGGCCAATTTTTAATATACTAAATCCTTTAAAGATTAAATTTTCTGCAGTGAAACATAAAATATTTAACTTTAGTCATAATCATATTTCCAACTTTTTTATCAAAAATAAGAATTGATTCAATATATTTCTAGAGAAAAAAAAAAGCGAAAAACAACAACAACTCAGATGCCCCTTTAGTTATCCTATGTACACTACTCAAGCCACCAATGGTTACGTAAGTAGTAGTGTTTATTTCTCACATTTAAGATTTAAAATTTGAAGTCAAAGCTATGTCACTTACATAATTAAAGTTAGAGTGTTGCCAGCTGTCTGGATATTTAATCTGTATTCAACATCTCTTAGAGTTTCTATCACACTGAAAATATAAATAATTTAGCATTATCAATATATGATAACAAATTATGTAAATTCATTTATGTTTTGTTTGAAGTAAATTGCATAATTACCGTGAAATTCCTAATAAACGCCCCTCCCCTAATAAAGGCCCCCCCCAGGCCTTTTGATAAGAAAAACAATCTACTCATCAGTGCTGAACTCATGAGTAAATCCATAATAATTTCATTTAAATTATTCAGAATCCATTTTATTTTATAGTATGAACTTTAAAATCTTAACACTTTTTTATGTTATTACCAACACTTGCTAACACTAAATGTATTTACAATGATTTTTGGATTTAGGAAAAATTGTGTTGAAATAATAGCCCCCCTTTTGGAAAATGTTTAGCCCCCGGGGGCGTTTAATAGGAATTTTACGGTATATAAAATTTGTTAGTTAATAAAGATATACTTTGTTTCCAGACTCATCATGAAATAAATAAGATCAGCTGCAAGAAAAGATCAGTAAAAGTGAACAAAGATGCAACAGTCATTACCAATAAAACAATTAAATGAAAGAATGTCCTTTCCATAATATTATATACAACTTGACAGAAATATTAGGAATAGCAGTACCAAAGGATTTCAAGTCAACACCAAACTGAGATACATGACACCTTTATGCTTGATAAGTCTTTATCATTAAGGTTTCTTAATTTTGCCTTCATTTGTATAACTATTGCATGATTAGTTGCCCCACATTATTATAACCTATAAAAAATATGGAAAGAGACCAAAAATGATATAGTGCTTTAAGTATTCAAAATAAATAGGGGCTTAGAATGGCCTTGCCCTTCCATCAGCGCCCAGAATTATCCATCAGGCATCCTAAAAGAAAGAAAGCTCATATACACTTGATCAGTCCTTAAGATTTGATTAAAAATTGGGTTGTTTTAAACAGTCAAAAAATGAAATGATGTTACACTACCAAATCCAAGCTTAAAAAATTAATTTAATTCTGAGCAAGATGCGTTTTTTTCAGATAATGTAATACAATTCTGAATGATTTTATTTTCGGTCAAAAGAATATTGAGTTTTAAAATAAGTAATGCATGACACAAGTCATTCTGAAATGTCAACCAGTTCAATACAGTAAAGTTAGAAAAAAAACTGTATTGTAAATGTCTTTGCATTAACATAATTTCGCCCTCATGACACAAGTTTACGAAAATTGTATATACTCGGGTTTGATTGAGTCCTTTATCAGCAGTAGCAAGGATACCACCTTTTAATGAAAAATATGGAATTTATTGACTAACAGAGTAATAAACTAATATTTATATGCCTTTAACTTACCTTAATACGCAGAAAGTCCGAGCGGGGCCAAAGGCCCCGCGAGGGCTGTAGCGCTCTTAGATAACATGTATGACGCGTATCAATTTAAATGAAATCAAATTAAAAGTAAATGTAAAATTTAAAAAAAAAACATTTATCCTATACCTAATGAGCTGAGAAAAAATCCTTAGTTAACAGGGCGCCGCCATTTTGAAATCCTTTTAAGCTAAATATAGAAATCAGAGTGCTTTTTTAATGAGCGTCTACATAATTCAGACAATTGCTAGCAGACGCATGCTAAGTAACACTTCCGGTGAAAGAATGATGTACAGAATCAGAAAATAAACCTCCGTTTCATTGATAAGAATTATAGTAACAATTATAAATATAAACAAGATTGCATTTGTAAAAAATGCCATGCAACCGCATAAATACAACACTAAATAGTAATGTAGGAACACATTTTTTTTGTTTCTACACAGATTGCCATAATGCATAGATCACTTACCTATCTGTTATTATAAGATTAGTACCTTCAGACAATAAGATTTTTAATTTTTTACTTTATGACATTGTGACTGAAAATCAATGATCCCCAGGGGCGGGGCCAATTTTGACCCCAGGGCTTTAATTTGAATAATCTTGCTAAAGGTTCACTACACAATGTTTACTGCAAAATGTCTCACCTCTAGCCTTTGTCAATTCGAGAAGATGATTTTTTAAAGTTTTTACTATATACATGTAAGAAAAACCTATGACCCCCGGGGCAGGGCTAATTTTGACACTAGAGGCAAAATTTGAACAACTTTGGTAAAGTACCTTTAGATAATAACACATACCAAATATCAAACCTCTAAGCCGTGTACCTTCAGACAATACGATTTTTTAGATTTTTTACTATATGTACATATTGAAAATCAATGATCCCCAGGGGTGGGGCCAATTTTGACCCCAGGGCTATAATTTGTTCAATCTTGCTAGAGGTTCACTTCACAATGTTTCATGCAAAATATCTAACCTCTAGCCTTTGTCAATTTAGAGAAGATGATTTTTTAAGATTATACTATATACATATGAGGAAAACCTATGACCCCCGGGGCAGGGCTAATTTTGACACTAGAGGCAAAATTTGAACAACTTTGGTAGAGTACCTTTAGATAATAACACATACCAAATATCAAACCTCTAAGCCGTGTACCTTCAGACAATACGATTTTTTAGATTTTTTACTATATGTACATATTGAAAATCAGTGACCCCCAGGGGTGGGGCCAATTTTGACCCCAGGGCTATAATTAGTACAATCTTGCTAAAGGTTCACTACACCATGTTTCATGCAAAGTATCTAACCTCTGGCCTTTGTGAATTTAGAGAAGATGATTTTTTGAAGTTTTTACTATATACATATATGAAAAACCTATGACCCCCTGGGTGGGGCTGACTTTGACACTAGAGGCAAACTTTGAACAACTTTGGTAGAGTACCTTTAGATAATAACACATACCCAAATATCAAACCTCTAAGCCTTGTACCTTCAAACAAGAAGGTATTTTAAGTTTTTACTATATGTACATATAGTGAAAATCAATGACCCCCGGGGCGGGGCCGATTTGGACCCCAGGGCTATAATTTGAACAATCTTGGTAGAGGTCTACCCGACAATGCCTTATGCAAAATATCTAAGCTCTAGGCCTTTTGGGTCTTTACAAGAAGATTTTTTAAATTTATTCTTATAATTCCTTTTGGTTGTCATGGCAACCAGAATTCTGCATGGAATGAAATTCTTTGAACAACTTTGGAAGGCCTTCACCCAAGGATCAATCCTGCCAAGTTTGGTTGAAATTGGACTAGTGGTTTTTCACAAGAAGATTTTTTAAGTTCACTATATAATCTATATAACACACACACACACAAACAAACACACACACAGGTGAATCGCTATATGCCACCGCATCGCAGATGCTGCGGTGGCATAAAAATTACTTTAACATATCCTTTTTGATAAATTAGCACATTATAAATAACGTTAAATCAACAACTGTGATTAGAGATTAACAAAAATGTTGGACGGGATTTTCCAAACGCCGACGCATGCGCAGTGGTCCCCCTTTACGTTCCGATGATAAGTTGAACACCACCTATTTATTTGTTTTGTTTATTGTACAAAATACCTGCAAGAAAGATCTGGTTTACATGTACACTAAACATGTTATGCTAAAATCATAATACATAAGAGCTTTCCGCGCCATAGGTACCACCTAATTTCATATTATGTAAATTGTTATTAATATGATAATACAGTCACAGAAAAATTTCAGTCTGACAGGGACTCACTCCTAATCCAATATATCAGACATTACAGGCTTGTTATAGTTCATGTCTTTCAAGCCTGAAGCAAAAATATCTCAAAGTGGCAACAAATTTATAGGCCAATAGGGCTAACTTGCTCCCTGGTTAGATGACCATCAGAATACCATAATGTGGCTATGAGCTCTCCTATCCCTAACATATTGTCTACCCTTGTTAGTAGAAGATTTCTTTAGTGTGACAATACAAATAAGCTACCCTAAAAAGTCTTTAAAATGAATGAATAATAAAGATTCTTTAGTTATACTTCAAGTTTCCTCTTCTCAAAGACTCAATTTGCTTAGTCCGTTGCATTTGAAGCTCTGTTGAGCCAGGCAATTTGCTTTTCTTCGCTCCTTGGCCAAACCAAGGCATCTTCTTTACTTTGTTTTGAAGTAAAATTACTAAAAGGTAAGTTGGTGAGTAATTTCACTTCCTGGTTTTTTGACCGGAAACCTCAAAACGTCATCAAAAGATGTGCACATCTTTAATTTCCGGTGATGTACGCAACTTCCCGAAATTTTGCAGCAGGTGCATACAAAGAAATGTAGTTAACGAGTAATTTTGGCACTGACCAGTCATAATTCATCAACATTTTCAAAGTATACAGTTTTATTTTATCATATTTTGTTCACGGTTTCGTTTATGATTATTGAAGTGCTTAGTTACTGATTAGAGGCGCAAAAAGTCATTGACCTAATTTCCTTGTCACATATTTTCGCGTCTATATTGGGAATAATAAAATATGTTAGTTTTCAGTCATATTCAATGAAATGGGCTGATATTTAAATAATACAGTTTTTTTCTGTTCAATTCGATTTTTCAAATGGTATTAATCTTTCATTTTGAAATTTTTACATGACAGGGCTTGACACTAACTTTTTTTAGGGGTAGTCAGAAGGACTACCTACTTTGAGGATCAGGTAGTCCTTGGCAAATCTAGGTAGTCCTCATTGTAAGACATAAAAAAAATGTTTTTTATTCTATTTAAATGCATTTTGAGTGTATGTATCTGAAGATAAGAAAACAATAGCATGAGATCTCTCCAAATTTATTGGAAAAAATCACCAATAGATAAATAATATAAGATCTAGTAAAAGTTTGTAAGCTTAATTCTGCATGAGATGTAGGTTCCGGCTAGCCTCTGAGCTCTTCAAAGTCATCATCAACAATTTTTTTTTACATATTTTTGTTATAAAATATGGCAGTGTGACACACAAAAGTCATTAGGTTTTGAAAGGCCAGACATTACCTACAGGTACAGGGTTTTAGCCAGGAATTACTAAGGTGTGTTGCAAATAAAATTGCTAGGCAATCAGCTCAGCTTATATTATTGACAGCTTATAGGGAAGGGGAGAATATATTGGCAATATGAGCTAAATAAGTATCTGTCAGTTTTAAATTTATGTAATACCTGGCTTTTGTATTAAAAAAATATTTCAATAGAGCTTACAAATCTACTTTCATGTATAGATAATGTATGACCTTTTAGATGTGTTTTTAAATTCAAAACAAAAGTAAAAAGCATGGACAAGAACAAAATATGTTTGTCTTTACTCTAATCGATTTATTCTACAAACTTCTACAAACTACAAAATATTGCCATAGTTTTTTATGCGTAGGGTATTAGTATTTGTTAACAATTTTTTTCTTCATATACATGTATTGGCATTATGATTATTGCTTACATTTGCTTGTACATGATTAAGAAGTGCTTACAACATTGTGAAGTTATGGCAAAGACAATTACAAATACTTTAGAATATCTCTTTTCTCTTTTTTTAAAGAGATTTAAACATTTTTCTTCTCTTTTTTATAAAGAGATTTTTTCCCAATCAATAATCTCATGTCCGAATAAATTACATCCGAAATCAGATCTATTTAACGTTTATTTTGGTTATCAATGTCAGTGTGATTTACATCAATCAACAAATCATATTCTTTTAAGTTTAAACCCTTGAATAGGTTCCAATATGAGCAAATATTTTCATTGAAATGTTTAATAGACAAAGAATTCTACTGAAGTAGGCTGGAAAAATCGGCAATTAAGTTGGACTTCCGGTTTCACTTTTCGCAAGTTTATAGAGATTAAATAGAATCTATTATGCGTCTGCTGTGACTGACACTGATTGACAATTATACTGAGACATGCTTGGATAGATAAAATTGGTTTGTTTTATAATGATATTGATTTATTAAGGGATGTCGAGAGATTAATGGATGGCGCAATTATACCTCAGTGCCTGAAGGCACGTCGTGCGCTTAATGTTTACAATCATTAGTGACCCAACGGCTAATTATTTACTAGTAAGATGAATTTATCTTTTGTTTTGGATCATAGCCTAAAAATATTATTTTATTAATTATTTTTAGTGAATTTAGAGACATCATGTCACTGAAATTTTGAGTAGCCCGACGGGATACCCAGCTTGGAAACCCAGGTAGTCCTTGGGGATAATTGGTAGCCTCGGGCTAACGGACCATCGTTAGTGTCGAGCCCTGCATGATATCTTTTTGCAAAATCTTCTTGAAAAAAATGTTGGCAAAATGACTTCAAATGTTCAGCCTGACCAGCTCTCCAACCTAGAAAACTTAGTATGTGACAGTGTTTCACCCCTAGACGTCACAGCCTGCTACCACTTTTAATATGCCACCAAAAACGGGTTAATCAGTTACAGTATGTGGGACATGACCTATGTTCTTTTAGCTTGATTGGTAAACTGATTAGATTATCTTGAGTGTTCTTATAAAAAGACACAGATTAAACCAGGGAAGAGTTCCAGATAGGATGCGTAGCAGCGCAAAATATGCATAGAAAATATAAAATACACATTAGTTCAAGAATTCATGCATCACAGTTATTAGCTAAAGAGACTTCAGCAAACAGGTTTTATAGTACTGCTAGGCCTGTTCACTGAAGCCAATCCCATATTCGCCACCATTGCTGCCCTAATTATCACGTGACTAGCGAGAATTTAGGTTCGGATACCTTTGCATGACATTTGGTGACCCGTGTCCCAAATGCTATTTTTAATTGAAAACATGGCTTTGCAATTATAAATGATGGTGTATTTATTCAATAACAGACATTGTACCTAAAAGATGTTGGATTTATATTGTTTTGAGTGATGATTCATGAATTATTTGTTTGTTATACCCCCAAAAACGAAGTTTGGGGGGGTATATAGGAGTCACCCTGCGGTCGGTCGGTCGGGCGGGCGGTCGGTCGGTCGGTCCAGACGTCCGTTGCATTTTCCTTGTCCGGAGCATAACTTTAAAACTAATGGTTGGAATTCAATATAACTACATACAATGGTCAAGCACATTGAGAGGAAGTGCAGTGCACAAGAATCATAACTCTATCTTGACTAATTACAGAGTTATTGCCCTTTGTTACTTTTCCTTGTCCGGGGCATAACTTGAAAACTACTGGTTGGAATTCAAAACAACTTCATACAATTGTCAAACACAATAAGGGGAAGTGCAGTGCACAAGAACCATAACTCTATCTAAAGTAATTACAGAGTTATTGCCCTTTGTTGCTTTTCCATTGCTTTTTTTTTTGACTGTTGCATTTTCCTTGTCCGGAGCATAACTTTGAAAACTAATGGTTGGAATTCAATATAACTACATACAATGGTCAAGCACATTGAGAGGAAGTGCAGTGCATAAGAAACATAACTCTATCTTGACTAATTACAGAGTTATTGCCCTTTGTTACTTTTCCTTGTCCGTGGCATAACTTGAAAACTACTGCTTGGAATTCAAAACAACTTCATACAATTGTCAAACACAATAAGGGAAAGTGCAGGGCACAAGAACCATAACTCTATTCTAAAGTAATTACAGAGTTATTGCCCTTTGTTGCTTTTCAAATGCCTTCTTTTTTTTGTCCGAAGCATAACTTGAAAGACTAATGGTTGGAATTCAATATAACACATACAATGGTTAAGCACATTGAGAGGAAGTGCAGTGCATAAGAACCATTAACTCTATCTAAAGTAATTACAGAGTTATTGCCCTTTATTACTTTTCCATTGCCTTTCTTTTGTCCGGACCATAACTTGAAGACAAATTGTTGGAATTCATTATAACTTCATACAATGTCCAGCATATTGAGAGGAAGTGCAGTGCACAAGAACCATAACTCCATTTTGACTTATTACAAGAGTTACTGCCCTTTGTTCTTTTCCTTGTCCAGAGCATGACTTTTAAAACTACTGGTTGGAATTCAAAACAACTTCATAGAATGGTCAAGCACAATAAGGGGAAGTGCAGGTGCACAAGAACCATAACTCCATCTTGACTAAGTACAGAGTTATTGCCCTTTGTTACTTTTCCTTTGCTTTCTTTTGTCTGGACCATAACTTGAAGACTTATTGTTGGAATTCATTTTATAACTTCATACAATGGTCAAGCACATTGAGAGGAAGTGCAGTGCATAAGAACCATAACTCCATCTTGACTAATTACAGAGTTACTGCCCTTTGTTACTTTTCCTTGTCCAGAGCATGACTTGGAAAACTACTGGTTGGAATTCAAAACAACTTCATACAATGGTCAAGCACAATAAGGGAAGTGCAGTGCACAAGAACCATAACTCCATTCTTGACTAGTTTTTAGAGTTATTGCCCTTTGTTACTTTTCCTTGTCCAGAGCATAATTTTTTAAAACTACTGTTTGGAATTCAGTACAACTTCATACAGTTGTCAAGGACATTCAAAGGAAGTGCAGTGCACAAGAGCCATAAATCCATTTTGACAAAAATACAGAGTTACTGCCCTTTGATACTTTTCCTTGTCCGGAGCATAACTTAAAACGTACAGGTTGGGAATTCAAAACAACTTCATACAATGGTCAAGCCACAATAAGAGGAAGTGCAGTGCACAAGAACTATGACTCTATCTTAAGTATTTATAGAGTTATTGCCCTTTGTTCTTTTTCTTTGTCTTTCTGGACTTATTACAGAGTAATTCAATTAAACTTCATCAATGGCCAACCACATTGAAAGGAAATGCAACATACATGAACCACAATTATCTTTAATTGCCCACAACCATAACTCTATGTTTCAATTCTTTTACAAGGTATTCTGTTACTAGTAACATCCTCATTTCCGAAGCAGACTTGTGGGGGTATTAATCACATTTAGTGATAGTTCTAGTTTTTATTTAAAGTCGTACACTTACTAAAAAAAGTGTATGGTCTGTTACTAAAAATTAATGCTAGAATTCCCAAAACTTGAAGTCCTGCGAGATTTCATTTGAAAGCAGACTCCATATTGGTAAACATTCTGATTCTCTACATATTTCCCTAACAAATAGTTGAGTACACAATGTCATTGAAGTTATATTTAAAAACAAAACATGAATTTATTCAAAATTGATTTGTTAATCAAATGGTATTATTTTTTTTTACCCAAATTTGATTAATAAGGGTGATTTTAATAGGTAATTTTAATTTTCAAGCGCGCTTCAGAATTTGTGTGGTGGGGGCAATTTCAAGTGTTGTAGGATTATTATTTATTTTCAATCACCGTAGTGTTACAAATTACTTATAGTCATAGTGTCGACAAACTGTCATATTCAACAAGATTTCAACGGGTCTTTCGATTTTTTTGGTGATTTCAACCAAACTTTTATAATGCCTGTTATTATCATTTTTAGGAATCATTAAATACGGTGGAGATAAATTATTCAGCGAGAAGTAGACAGGACATGTTAGAGATATGCCTTCAGTAGCACAGGCAGAGTATGGCATTAAGGATGTGTGGATGACCAATCTTGAAGAAGAGTTCCGGAAAATCAGACAAATTATTCAACGATATAAATATGTTGCAATGGTAGATATAGTTAATGTTTATTTTAACAAACGTGTCAGACAAATTTTCTCTCAAAATATTGTCTTTTATATCTGTTTTTTATCACGACTTTTTGAAAAATAGAGAAAGCTATTGTACTTAGCCAGGTGTTGGCATAGCCGTCACACTTTGGTTAAGATTTTGCTTGCAAATTGGTATCTCCCAAACTACTGAAATGAATTAATTGAAACTTCTCACAGTTATTTGTGAAGATAGGAAGTCGCTATCCAAAGCCCATAACTCTCACATAGACTTTGACAGAATTATGGGTCTCTTTTTTAACTTAGATAATTCTTCATTATCTATGCTCTCGTTTACTATCAAGCACTATGCTGTACCAACAGCTAGAACTGTCATCAATAGAGACAACATCGATGTAGCATTGATATTTTTCTGTTGATCAATAAGCGATACACAATTGAAAAAAAATCAATTATTTTGATTAATTATTTTAATGTCTATGAATTATGAAAATTCACCCAGTGATGACAAGAAATGGTTAGGAAAAAATCATGTAAAGGACATTTATAAACAGGACACAACATATTTGTATGAACAGAACATATATTTTACTAAAATCATTTTAACAGGTTTGAAAGTGAAATATATACAAGAAATAAAGTGAAATATATACAAGAAATTAGAAGTAAATATTAATATATCAGTGTATGACTGATATTGATGTATCATCAATATGCTTTGCAATGAATCTATGACGGCTCAACCGACAGCTAATATTAATTCATATACTGTAACAAAGTTTCTGAAAATTTTACTGATAAAAATGATTTATTAACAAAAAAATAAAATGATATCATCAGCTGCTTGTCCTTCAAAATGCTGAAGTCATATTATTATTTACAGGATACAGAGTTCCCAGGTGTGGTTGCACGACCTATTGGAGAGTTTCGCAGCACTGCAGATTATCAGTACCAGCTTCTCAGGTGTAATGTTGACCTTTTAAAAATAATACAGATTGGCTTCACATTTATGGATGAGAGTGGAAACACGCCATCTCCTATATCAACTTGGCAGTTCAACTTCAAATTTAATCTTACGTAAGGAATTTTTAAATTATCATATTCTGTTGCATTTTATTTATTTGCATTTTATAATAATTTTCAGGCTGATATTGAAGACAGTTTAATATTTTTGTCAGGTTTGATAAGGTACGATATCTTTCATTTATGGCTTGAATACCTTGTCAGAATTCGGTTAATTATTTCAAAAGTTTTTACTTTGAGTGGACAATTTTCAGTTGAAGGTTATTCATGTTGTTCACATGCCCATGTATTATGACTTGGCACCCCCAGAAATATGCATGCTGTTTTCTTGAAGAATAGTTGTTCACTAAATGAGGAAATTTCTAGCTATTCGCTTTGATTAAGAATGAGATTAGAGTTTCATTTTTAGATAGACTATTCTAAGAAAAGTGTTTATATTGGTTTTACATTTGAATGATGGTGTGGATGCAATTTCATATCTAGTTCACCACTGAAGGTATTTACCTAAACGTCATGCAAGCTCTGTGATCAAATACAAGCTCATTGACTAAAACTATTAACATGAATCTTAGTTGAATTATTTCTCCTTGTTGAATAGAAAATTTCTGTGAGGCTTAAAAATCATGTTTTAAGTAAATAAGATAATGAAATACATTACTTATATCCAACAAGATCTGTTAATCATTGCATCAAGTCAGTTTAACAAGGTTGTTATGAATTATTATCCTCCGCCGAAAAGGCGGCGGGGGATATAGAAATAGTCTCCGTCCGTCCTTCCGTCCGACATTTTTGTCCAGAGCATATCTCAAAAAGTATTTGAGATATCAACTTGAAACTTCATAGGTGGATGGATCTCATTGAGGAGGAGTGCAGTGCACAAGAGTGATTACTCTATCCTGCATATTTTTTCAGTTATTTCCCTATGCTTTTTTTCAAAACTTATTTTTTTCCAGAGCATAACTCAAAAAGCCATTGAGATATCAACATGAAACTTCATAGGTGCATAGATCTCACTCAGGAGGTGTGCAGTGCACAAGAATGATAACTCTACTTTTCATAATTTTTGAGTTATTGCCCTTTGTTATTTTTCATACTTAATTTTTCACCTGAGTGGAGCATAGCTCAAAAGTGTTTGAGTTGTCAACATGAAATGTCATAGGTGGATAGATCTTATTGAGGAGGAATGCTGTGCGCAAGAATGATAACTCTTCCCTATTAAATTTTGAGTTATTGCCCTTTGTTCTTTTTCAAACTATTTTGTCCGGAGCTTTTCTCAAAAAGTATTTAAGGTAACAACTTGAAACTTCATAGGTGGATAGATTTTACTGAGGAGGGGTGCAGCACACAAGAATATGAAAACCTACTGTACCCTGCTTTATTTTTCAGTTATTGCCCTTTGTTATTTTCAGCCATCAGTATTCATATAGGTTTCAAATCTGTAATCACTTCAGCCATCAGTTTTCATTACCAAAAGACCTCTAAAAATGGAATTATTCTGCTCTACTACATATACATTCTTTCAATGAGCAAACACATTCGGCAGGGGATGGCCATGTTGACATGGCTCTTGTTTTATCATGAAACCGGTTTTATTATTGGATTATGAATTATATTACAGAGAAGACATGTATGCTCAAGAGTCCATAGATCTCCTAACAAATTCTGGCATACAATTCAAGAAACATGAGGATGAAGGCATAGATATATTCACATTTGCTGAATGTTTGATGACGTCGGGGATTGTATTGTCTGATCAGGTCTTTTGGCTCTCATTCCATAGGTATTGCATATTGTAATTTATTTTAAACATTTAAGCTCGATGGCAAAACAAGTTCTTGCAACTTACATAAATTTCTTTCATTTCCGCTTCTTGAAACCAACCTGTACCAATGTGGTATGAAGAATAATTTTCATGACCCAAGTAGGGCTCAAACCCATGATCCCTGGGTTGAGAGGCAGACACATTAACCTCTAGGGCACCACTTAAAAACCCTTCATAAATGTATTTATTTAGGGTCATAATTAGAGAGATGTAAGTCAGCAGCTGGTGTTTTGTTTAATTTCATTGTTAAATATTGGCTCTATTATATATCCTGTCTGCAGCATATAGTAATGACAGACTTCCCGAAAGTTAAAAAAAACTGTCAGACATTCGGTCTGACAAACCATGAAAACCTGTCGGACCGAAACGAAATCTGTCAGACCAAATAAAATTGATCAAAATCAAAGAAAAACTTGTGTTTGTATTTCTAAGACACTTTTTGTTTTTAATTTTTTCGCCGTAAAAATCGGCACATTCCGTACCGTACAGTGCATTTTGAATTTTTCATCTCCTCCCTGTTATACACCAACGATTCATGGTCCTGCTTCCATTTTTCATTAAATTTTGTCTCAGGTCTATTCTTTTCATCCTTTTATTGCTGTTCTGCGCGCTCCTCTGACGTAGATTTTCGTTTTTCCCAGGTTTGGCAGCTTTAGCGACGCCATTTCGTATACATGTGGCTTGGATAAAAGCCGGACATTCGGACCGATCCGAAATAAAAAATCGTCGGACCTGATCAAAATTTATCGGACATGTCCGTCGGACCGACGTATTTCGGGAAGTCTGTAATGAAGTTGTTATTTCCTTTTAATGTTGCCAGTAGAAAAGTGTTCATGCTCAGCTGATTATTTGTAAATTAAATGACTTGTTTCTTTCAGTGGCTATGATTTTGGTTACCTGTTAAAGGTGCTCACTGATTGTGCACTACCTGAGGAAGAGGAAGAGTTCTTTGCCATGATAAAACTATATTTCCACAATATCTATGATGTGAAGTACCTGATGAAGAGCTGTAAGAACTTGAAAGGTGGTCTCCAGGAAGTTGCTGAGCAACTAGAAGTAGGTTTCTATAGTTATTATCTTCACTTGTAATATTTTATATTTATGATTTTATAGGGATTTTAATGGTATTTTAGAAATTATCTTATAGATTATGTTGGGGTTGTCTTAAATTAGTGATCTTACAGGAGTTGTAAAAGCAAAACCACCAAAATAATGTGAAGGTCATGTTGTTTTTTTTCCAAAATAGCAGGCAATATTTCCAACTTGTAGTATTTAGAGATTTTTTTGGGATTGTACCATTTGTATCAGTTCTATAAGAACCCAGTGTATAGCCAGATGAAAGGTTAAAATTCTTGCTCCTTTCACCTCTCACTTTTTGGGGGCGGGTAGCAGGTGGAGTGGGGGGCTTACTGAAATTAATACATTGTGAACAAAAGTGTCTACAATTTAATTTGTTGATAGAAACACACATGAAACAACTATGTAAACAAACTATATAAGTAATGTATTAATGTATGTAAATTTGATATATATATATATATAAATGTATAATGATTTCAGATTGAAAGAATAGGACCCCAGCATCAAGCTGGAAGTGACAGTCTACTAACTGGAGCAGCTTTCTTTAAGATGAGAGAAGTATGAACCGATTCTGTTTTGGTTCATTAATTTTTAGCTCACCTGTCACAAAGTGACAGGGTGAGCTTTTGTGATCGCTTTTCGTCTGTCGTCCGTAAACTTTTACTTTAAATGACATCTCCTCATAAACCACTAAGCCAATTTCATCCAAACTTCACAGGAATATTTCTTTGGTGGTCACCTTTGAAAATTGTTAAAGAATTTAATTCCATGCAGAACTCTGGTTGCCATCTGGTTGCCATGGCAACCAAAAGAAATAACTTTAAATATCTTCTTCTATAAAACCCAAAGAGCTAGAGCTTAGCTATTTGGCATGAAAAATCTTCTAGTGAGTGTCTACCAAGTTTGTTCAAATAAAAGCCTTGGGGTCAAAATTGGCCCCGCCCCAGGGGGTCATTGATTTTCCCTATATGCATATAGTAAAAACTTAAAAAATCTTCTTTTAAAGAACCCAAAGAGCTAGAGCTAAGATATTTAGCATGAAACATCTTCTAATGGGTGTCTACCAAGTTTGTTCAAATAAAAGCCCTGGGGTCAAAATTGGCCCAGCCCCAGGGGGTCATTGATTTTCCCTATATGCATATAGTAAAAACTTAAAAAATCTTCTTTTAAAGAACTCAAAGAGCTAGAGCTAAGATATTTAGCATGAAACATATTGTAATGGATGTCTACCAAGTTTGTTCAAATAAGAGCCTTGGGTCAAAATTGGCCCCCCCGGGGGTCATTGATTTTCCTTATATGTGTATAGCAAAAACTTAAAAAAAATTTTTGAAAAAAACCAAATAGCTAAAGTTTAGATACTAAGCATGAAACATCTTCTAGTGAGTGTCTACCAAGTTTGTTCAAATAAAAGCCATGGGGTCAAAATTGGCCCTGCCCCGGGGGGTCATTCATTTTCATGATATGTGTATAACAAAAACTTAAAAAATCTTTTTTGAAAAAACTCAAATAGCTAGAGTTTAGATATTAAGCACGAAGCATCTTCTAGTGATTGTCTACAAAGTTTGTTCAAATAAAAGCCCTGGGGTCAAAATTGGCCCCGCCCCGGGGGACATTGATTTTCCTTATATGTGTATAGCAAAAACTTAAAAATATTCTTTGAAAAAACCCGAATAGCTAGAGTTTAGATATTAAGCCTGAAACATTTTCTAGTAAGTGTCTACAAAGATTGTTCAAGTAAAAGCCCTGGGGTCAAAACTGGCCCTGCCCCAGGTGTGTCATTGTTTTTTACTATATGTGTGAAGAAAAAACTTGACCAGCTAGACCTTAGATGTTAAGCATAAAATATCTTCTAATGGGTGTCTACCAAGTTTGTTCAAATAAAAGCCCTGAGGTTTAAACTGGCCCCGCTCCGGGGGCCTATATACAGGTGAGCGACTTCAGGGCCATCATGGCCCTCTTGTTCATTTAAACACCACTGTTTTTCCTAGTTCTATTGATTGCATTGAGTTGAGGTATCAATGTGAAATATAATTTGAGTTAAAGTTAACAAAATAAAGCATTTGCCCATAACAGTAATAATCCTTGTTTTGTATAGTTGGTGGTTCTACTAGGGCTGTGCCTGAAATAATTTATAGAGGGGCACTTATGATCTTGATCTTCCTCCACCAGTAAAAGCTGGAAAGACATATGACCTATACTGTGTTGTTGCGACATAAAATCTAATAAAAAACAACAACAAAACTTGTACTTGAAATAGATCTCTGAGCATGAAACTTGCATCTTTTTGCAACCTGGAATTACTGTACGATTTTAACATTACAACAATGTAGATACATGAAGATCAGCCAACTACATGATACAATTTTTCAAATGGTACAGGGTTGGTCAGGATATGTACCATATGAAGCAAATACAATGTGAAACCATTTAATTACAAGTTATTTGCCAAACAGTTTACACATTTTACAGATTTAAATGGTAGATAAATGAATGCTGAAACATTCTCTTTTCAATATTTGTTTTACTGGTACTTTTATTTTTCAATACATGAGATACTTTGAAGACACTCTACTTATCTTTATCAACAAATATTAAGGCTGTGTATTGCCAGCTTGGAGGGATTCAATCTTATCATTGATTCAGACCTGACGATTTATGAATCAAACCTACATTATCTAATTATTTAAATATGACATTTAAAGAAATTACTATGTTGTTTAAAAGGTATTATAATTATAAATGAAAATGTATGTAAAGAAAGACTGACAGAATTCCTTTAACAACAGATATGTAAGTTTCATTTAAGATGAAAAAGAAGTGATTGAGAACAAAGTGAATGCATGTGAAAGTTTTAAAGGTTGTATATGTGTATTGAAGAGATATTAGAATTTTGTATAAAATGATGTGAATTGTGATCAAGCCATCTTGGGGCTATATGTCAGAACCTTATTGTCTAAGTCTGTATTGTGATTATTGTTACAGCCCTAGAAATTTTGTCACATAATGTAATGTATGATATGGAAAATGCCAGGCATGGCGTACAAGAAGTATGTGAAACTCATTCTGTAAATAAAATAGGGGCCTTACAATGGATGAGATATTCAGTGGGAAAGGGTTGCACTTTTAAGTGTAATTGAAACCTTTAGATCAATACAGGGATTTATGAGTTGCTTTTGTTAAGTGAGAGTGTGATCTCAATAAAAAAATATGTTTATTTATTCAGGAAGCATATAGTTGCCACTTTGTATGCTTTCCTACATTTTTTTCCTAGCCACTTCATTCAATTTGATCATTGTTTTCATTTTCAGTATTCTCTTACCTTTCACGGAGTAAGGAGTAACTTGGGTATAGGTCACTTGTGCTAAAAATAGATTATTATACTTCTCCCTTTATACTTTAGCAAACAGGCAGTTTTAGGGTGCATACATCACCTTAAGAGATGTCTCTTGTTTTGACATTTTCAGTAATGAATTTTGGTTTTTGTCTTATTTTGCAGATGTTTTTTGAGGATAATATTGATGACAACAAATATAGTGGACATTTATATGGACTTGGAACGTCATACGTACAAAACGGTGGCGGATTTGAATCCGTAAACCATTTTATGCCAAATTCACATTCATCCACTCCACCAGCTCAACCAACGGGAAACATTTCAAATGTAGCTAACTCCACGAATGACACGTCATCGTCAGTGCAAGTTACGTCGTCATGAAAACGTAGATATAGAGTTTTAACATTTAGTTTTGTCATCGTTGTAAATTTTCATCAATGTTGAAGCGTCATCAAGGAGTCCTTAAACAGTGGTAATGGAATGTTGCCGCCTTTATTTTAAAGATCTCAGAGATGATTCGAGCGAGGAATGTGTGAAGGAATGGATATATATTGTGTTTTAGAGGATACAAAGAGACGATTTTATCTACACGTGGTATCGGCCATGGATATTCTTAATTCGGACCAAGTTTCTCAGATTGGGAAAATTTTCTAGATTTTTTTTAACTTCTCTTTGTAATGAATCATAAGTTTGTACCTTCAACAGATTAGACTGTGATATTTAACTGTATTTTGTAATTGTTGAAGTTGTCTTTTATTAATGAACAATGCAGAGCAGCTGACTTGATTGATCTCCCCTGTTTGGAGAGCTTGTACTGTAAGGAGAGTTAACTCCCTTGGTTGAGTTTAGTAGAATCATGAATGATAACTTGTGTTGAGGATGTTAATTACAAATGTGTGATGTAATGTGCTTTGTAAACATCAGGTTTATTTGAAAAAGCTCAGGTATCATTTAGATGTATCATTAAATACCATTTTTTCGGATAATCTTAGTTTTTAATTGCTTTTGTTAACTCTGGTTGAATTACCTTTAACAATATTAAGTTTTGAGGATGCCTAAAAATTAACAATTGTGTTCTACTCAAAATATTGTAACATCTTTTTAAGAAATTTATTTTTCATGATAAGTACAGTTGGTCACCTTGTTGAAGAATTACCTTTGCAGTTTTGTGTTTGATTTTAATTAAGCAATATATGTTTGTAAAATGAAGAAGTTTCAGCTATTTGAAGACATTGTGATATGCATGTTTGTGATAGGCAGGTGGACATATAGAAATCTAGTGGTAGAAAAACTTAGTGGACTGTGCTTATTTTAGATTACATGTAGAAGGTTGAGGCGGGGTAGGGTGTTTGTCTGATTAGTAGATGGGGATGAAAAGGGGGATCAATAAAGAAGGTAGAAAAAAGGGGGTGAGCAAGGGATGGGCTTTCTTTTATGTCAGATGTGGGTGGGGATAAGGTGGGTTGGACTTTTGTGTCTGTTCAGGATTTAGGGATGGGCAAAGCTATTGGAATAGGCTTTTATGTCAGATTGAAAGAATCAAGTGGAGATGGGCTAATAGAAGAATATAAGAGTTAATTTTAATTGGAAAAGATTCATTTGTTGTAATAATGCATGTGAATGGTCTTAACATGCTGTGAGAATAATCTGAAAGCTTTTATACTGTTTTAGATTTCTATGTGTACACTTGTTTCTTTTATCAAGATTTGTCAGGTATGGACTCTGTTCATTTTAATTACCACTTCATCAATTTCAAACCAGCAAATGTGTCTTTGAAATTTAATAACCATGATCGTTTAATTTTTTTAATCAGGTTTTCAGATTGGTCATGTCTGGGTTGTTACCTGTTTCATCAATGTAGGATTTCAATCAAACTTTAACAGCATTGTTATCATCAAGTTGTCTAATGCACATTGTTGGAATTTTTTTTATTTGAGAATTATGGCCCTTTGATTTCATTTTGATATGTTATATTTGCAGAAAATCTGGTTTTGTGACGCAATGTCCCATCATTTGTGCTGTCCTACTGATTCTTATTATAAGATTATTTTTTAAAGTAATTCTGTATGTATTTATTTGTCTTTATATTTTTTAACTGTGAAGAAGTTTGAATGAACCATTCAGTTATGTAAAACATTACAATTGTTGAATGAATAATTTCAAAGACACATTTGCCTAAATTCATATTATTTCTGTTGATGTGTTTATACTTATACATTGTCTTTTTTTTAATCACTTTGCTAAATGTATACCTTAGTTTTTTATGATTTTAAAAATTGTTTGCTGCCAAAATATCTTGTGTAAGATTTTGATTTTATCAAAAAGAAATAACCGTCTGCCTATATGCAGATGGTAAAGATTGACATGTGTTTAACTGTGATATATTAAAATTGAATTATTGAAAAGGTAATATTCTTTTTGGATGGTTTAGTTTTTAAAACCTGTTGACCGTAACCTGTTTATTAATAAGGAAGGCTTCTCCTCGTGGGTATATGAGTTGAACCCCTTAGTATTTATGCTAACGGTGACCATCAAGAGATTATGGTACCTGGTTATGGAGGGGTTATTTATTGTAGCAGTTTTATGGTTAATAATTGTGTCTTAATTACCCTTAATATCAATAATGAACCGCCCTGCCTTCAGGCTTGAACTTCCCATTGCTTTTGATTAGAGGTTTCGATATAAAAATGCTAGAATTGAGAAATGAGTTCAGGCTGCTGAGATAATTACACATACTGGCCTTCAATTTTGTGTTTATGGCCTTAATTTTGCTGGAAACAAAAATGAGAAGCCTTTGTCGCCAGTATAGAACCGGGCCAGCCTGCACTTCCGTGCAGTCTTACCAGATAACTCATTTTGTGTATTTTGATATTGAAATCCCTTAAATATTGAATGGACTGTTCCAAATTCAAAGCAGGGCAAATCCATTATACAAATTCAGAAGGTTATGGGTTAAGATGATATGAAACAGGTTTAATATATGCCATCATTAAAAAGTGCAATAATTTTTATTTTACCTATAAAAAAATGAAATGAAAAATAGAATAAATTGTCTGTTTGTATCTTTTTAAACAACAATATTTTTATCTAGATACTATTATTAGGCCTTGATGATGTTTCAACAGAAATGATTTTGTCTATTTGTGTTTTTAACTGACTGAAGTACAGTATTAAATGTTTTTAGATTGCTTAGCAATTTAAGTAGTTCATGAAGATTTGGCTGGAAAAAAAATGTGCTTTGAAATATTTTTCTTCATGATTTTAGAAATTATAAATTATTAGATAGCTTAACAGTTTCAATCATTCTAGAAAATTGTTTCTGTTAAGGAGCATAATTATGTTTGAAATAAATTTTTTCTTGTTTTTAGAATGTTAAAGGTAGTAGATCACTAAATATTTTAAATTTTTTAAAGAATTTTTGATGAAGAAAGTGTGCATTGAAATATTGTTGACATAAAAGACGGAGACACTATTTTGAAGTTGATGTAGAATTCAGAAAAATTCAAATTCATTTAATTCTTTTAAGATTTGTTGGAGGTTTTTTTTATATTCACTACATGAAATGCAAAAATCATTTAAAGATAATATTTTAAGAAACATAGTTTTTCGGATACATGTCTATATATTTGAAATGAATCATACCAAAGAAGTTGACATGAGTTTAGATAGTTTGTAGATTTGTAGTTTTTTTCTTCTTTTAGTTGGATACACAGAATGTTATAAGGAAATACAGTTGTAAAAGTTTGTAAAATTGGAATATGGAAAAAAGTATCATCAAGAATTGGCTGGGGGGTGTTATTTTAATTTTGTACTTCAGTCATAATATTTGTGCTATTTTTCTAAGGATTTTGAAGAGGACCTCATACCTTGGAATGAAATTGGATGTAAAATGCAAGTCATCTTTTATAAGTTTTGTTCAGAAATATTAGGTCTTTCAATTAATGATTAAATAGTCATTTAATTTGGAAAGAATTCCCTGTTTCTAAACAGAAAACAAAATGGGGGGGGGGGGGGGGGTCATTTCGGCTTTTTTTCTTTAGAAAATACCAAAATATTTCAAGTCATTTTGGGATGTTGAATATGATGAGGTTTTTTTTCCTTTGAACATGTTGTAATGTGGCTGTTTTTTATCCTCATATTTAAGTGTACATAAATAACATCTATAAATGGAGTAAAACATTTTCAAATAGAGAATAAACCTACTATTACAGGGATTTTAACCAATTTGGTGAAAGACTTAAGCATTTCATTGGTCTTTTTGGTTTTGTCAAACAGATATCACATTGTGTGTCTTAATTTTAGTGAAACCTTTTAGATAAGACCAACTGTGAACAAAAACTGCCTGTCTTCAAAGACCATGCTTTTATGTCCAATTTCAGCAGGATTTGCATTTTTACCTCTGTATAGGGACCAGCTGTCTATCGCAATATGACTTTCAATGGATAATCTTAGTGCAAATTCTTTCTTTGTAAAGACCACTTGTAAACAAATACCACTATGCTTTTTCACAAGATTGGTTTCAATAGATAAGAGGTTTTTTTTTAATGACATTTTGTGGTAAGTAAACTGTTTACCTCTGAATGTTACTGACAGGGTGGTTTCTATACAGAGGTTAGACTGGGTGCCACTGATCTCACTATATGAATGTAAATGTTGCCATTGTTTTTAATTACAGATCCATTTTCTGCTTGTCATTCATCTGCTTCTATATTTAGAACAAATGTAAACAATTTGTGAAATCTTCAAGGGCACATACTTAAGGGTAAGTGTACATTGCAAATACAGGATAACATTGCATATTCAATTCTGTCACATTACCTAAACATAAGGATGTTTTACAGGCTTTTGAGTGAAGATTAGTGAACTGTGTTATTTTTTAACATTTCATAACATATGATATCACAGTTTGACCTGGGAAGATGCGTTATCTGCTGCAATATTTCTTTTCATTTTTAAAAAAATCTTTCCTTAGTTTTTATCACTTATAAATTAATTGTGATTTTTGTGTGTGTATTTTGTTATCTCCCCTAGGTTTGAGTTTACCTTCATAATGAAGAGTTGTTTTGCGTTGCTATTTTTAGATCTGGTTAAGGTAACCACTATTTGTATCTTCGTGTATGAAGAGTATTTTGAATCAAAGTGCTATTGGTTTTTAAACTCTTTCTTCTTTTTTTCATATAACAATTAGATGTATATTAAGAGTAGAACTTTGTCGTAGATTTTTTTTGTTCACTTTTAAAGGAATGTACTTGATATTTTAAACCATTTAATAATTAATCTCTGTGTTGCTATTCAATTTTCCGAGCTTTAAACAAATATGTTTTCTTCAGCTGCTCTGTGATTGATTTGATTGTCATTGAAGATGTCTTTATGAAATTAAAGTGCATCTCTCTTGATTCATTTTATTTTAAAACAATTAAAGCCATTGCATTATATATTCTGTTTTCAGTGGCCTTATGGTCACAAAATGCTTTCAAGTATGAAAAAAATATGTACTTGTGGGACACACAATATTGTGTGTCACATTCTATTGAGCTAAGTGTATGTTTTACTTTTTTGTGACACTGTGTATATGTTTGTGTCACAGTTTCATAAGCTAACAGTATATTTTATTTTTGTGACACCCTTTACATTAGGGGGATCACAAATTTTACTGTAGTGTTGTAAATAAAGGAAAACTAACTAACTCATTATAAATTCTACAGCATATGTCACGTGTTTGTTGTCATTACGCAGCGTAGAATCAGGAATAAATTAATGTACGTTTATTTGATGGTTCAAGTTAGGTACAATATTGCTTCTCGCATATATAAATGTTACACAGGAATTGAAAGCAGTTTGAATTTAAAGATATTATACTTGGATATAATAGTATGTATATTATTAGTTATAAAGATATATGACAGGTTATATGGCCCTACATAAACGGTTATATTGCAAACAACTGTTTATATATGACCATATAACCTGTCAGAAATATTTATAACGAATTTATAATACAGCTAGCATGTTTTTAAGCAAAAAAGTGAGATTTCTTCATAAATTGACAGCAGCCGTGTAACGATTATCCAATGGAAAGTGACATTACTAACATGCAGTATTATAATGCAACAGAGCCTGTCAAATTTCCCCTGAATGTTTTACTCTTTCTTCTTTGAAGATAGTTGTTGGGTAAGACTTAAGATATACAGAGCTGTGCTTCAAGCCTTTGACAATTTAAAGGACTATTATTCTAAAGTTTCATCAGACATATTTAAACATAATTATTGAAATATTTACATTACAATGTACTTCCATGTATTTAGAGAAAGTAACAACGAAACATGTGAACAACAGAAGCATCATTTAAGTGGGTATGACTTAGTCAACTTTGCATCGGTGAAGATTTTCATTTGAAATTTCACAAATCTTCATGGTCAGTGAACAATCCATCACTGTAGATTGACCCAAGTAAGTTACGTATGGTCGGTTGTTGTACTCTATTGTCCGCTAAATTAATGCACGGAAGGGTACTCGAGGTATTCCTCCACCAGTAAAGATAGGTCGCAATATGACTTACAGATTATCCCTTTTCCTGACCCAAGTTCCGTCTCTACTGAAGGTAAAGAAGCTATACAACATCTTAAATGTCTTTGAAGCCATAATTGTAGACCTTGCATTGTCTTCCTTAATAATTGATAGTTGTTTTGTTCTCGATGATTAACTGGAGATTATTTAATGATGATTTTATGATTATAGCCTAATGTCTGTGAAACGAAAATATTTCATGACTATTCGATAAGAATAAGTAGAGCTATTGTAGTCACCCGTACGTCGGCGTAACCACTTACGTTAAAGTTTTTGTAATACCGCAAATATTTTTAAAGTCCATTGACATGGCTTTGAAACTTAGCACACTTACCCAACCTGTAAACAGGAGGAGGTAACTGTATCACGCATTTTTACAGAATTATGCCCCCTTTTCGACATAGAATTTTCGTTAAAGTTTTTGTAATACCTCAAATATTTTCAAAGTCCATTGACATATGGCTTTGAAACTTTGCACATTTGTTCACCATCATGACCCCAACCTGCAGACAGGAGCAGGTAACTCTATGAAGCATTAGAATTTACATTTAAGTTTGCATACCACCTCAGATATTTTCATATTCTATTGACATCTGGCTTTGAAACAAGTTGAAATTTTATACTTCTCTTTGAGAGCATAATAGGACTCTCTTTAAGACCTATAACTGTAACATGGATTTAAAGACACATTTTGCCGTTTTGTTAACTTAGAAAATTTTACATTTTCAAGGCCTTTTTACTATCAAGCACTAAGAATAGTCGAGCGTTGCTGTCCTACCGACAGCTCTTGTATTACCTGTAATTCAAGATTAAATCAGTCTCTTATCTCCCTATATATAAAAATGCATTTCTGTGACTGATTTATATTGTTTATTATACGAGGGTTGTTCGGGAAGTTCTGGGAATTTTGTCATATCTCCTATATTTTTTGTTTCTAAGACGTAATGTTTTGCACATACTAAGATTAGCATATCACGGAACTATTCCTAAAAATTGAATAGAATCAGACAACAATAGCCGGAAATAGCAGTAACCATAGCAACACTATAACGCCGAACCGGAGCAGTCCGACTCTAAAGAAAGGTATAACGTATCTTTATGCTAAATAAATCCATATTGTGTCAAGTCCCTTTCGCAATATTGACCTGAGGTATAAGAAAAATGTCAGTAATTGTGGATTCTGAAGTTTTAAAGTTTGATATAACATTACCGAGATAAGCAGTTATAAGACTTTTAGTTTCATATTGAATGTTTAGGTTCAATCTTAATGAACTATTTTTATGCAAACATAAAAAAATATGATTTAAGAAATTAAAAATTAAGTATCGAGAACTTTCCCTGTCTTAGTACATCGTAATAAATTACGGAAACTAACGAAAAGGCTTCCGAAAATTGATGCGTCTCAGGTCAATATTGCCAAACAATATGAATGTTAACGTACTCAAAATGTACATGTAAATGAACTGAAGCGTTACATAATTTTGTTAAATCCTAGGGGAATACCCGCTATTCTCCAATGTAAACATCTATCTTGCAGTACATCATAACAAAATAGTGAGTTAAAGAAAAATGGGAGTAATAAACTCGAAGAGAAAGTTCTCAATAAAGAGAATTAAGAAGGTATTTATATATTGAATTAATTTATTTATTAATTTATTTAAAATTAATGTGGAGAAAGTTTATTTTTAAAGTTGATATATATCTGTTAAAAAGTAGTATTTGCAGTCCGATTATATTTAGATAAATCTCCATTCCCGTGAGGGGCGAGGGATGTTAAATTCTTTAATGTGAAAGTTTACCATCGTGTTTCTTACTTTCCAATGTCTCCTTTAAATTGCAATATCGATTTGCAGGATATAGATTGTGGATGTGATAAAAATTTAACCTAATGAAAAATAATGATAAGAATAATTAAATGAACAAAAAATATGAAATAAACAAAAAAAAACACAACAGATTTATCTGAAGATAGGTGTAGGCTTTTGCGAGATAGTCAAAATATATTGACATGCCAAAGTTAGATTCTGGGTCAGAATCTCGCTTCTAGAGGCGTGATATTGGTCCAAAAAAACAAAAATATTTAGAAGAAACAACGACCAAATATGTCTCGCGTCCTTCCGGTCCTTTAGAAGGGACCCGGACCATGGGGCAACCGTCACATGAATTCCCTGCTGAAATTATTCGCACCCTCGGGCCAAACACAAAAGTCTGTTACTCTGTCTGGTTATTTCTATAACTACATCCAAATACAAAAATGCATGACGTTTTTCTTGCCTGACTATACGCATAATCAACTATTTAAATAACTAAAATATTGAAATGATATCCAGCGACTACAATGTTGTTTACTTTTTTAGGTAATGTACAATACGGCGACTTAATACATGATGAAATCTCCCTTATTTATTCTGAATTACTTATGTTCCTTATTGACTTCTAAATTGTATTCTCGTGTAAAAATATCTGTTGTTTTCCATATAATCTTAGTGTAAGCGGCGGTAAAGTCCAAATGTCCAAAGTCCGATGGCATCACTACTAAAATAAATACTATATGTACATTAATAAATATGAAAAATATGAAAACAGTTGTGAAAATGTGTAAATCGCAGTTTGATTGAAGCTGTTAAAAAGTTCATAACATCACGCTACCCACCACCCCCGCACCGTTTTTAGCGATATTCAACTAAACGTAGACTGTAATGTAATGGAATCAAGCAATGCAGAGTCAGAGTCTATACTTTGGTTGCTGAAATTAATCATTTTGACATTAAAATCTTCGTAGTCTTTTGAGAAGTTATTAATTATAATAGCCGAGATGTACCGATTGTAAAATCTCTTAATTTCACAAATCAAAGCAGGAACAACCCATTTTAAGATAATATAAAATTTAATCTTTTTTCATGTTTTGTTTATACAGTTGCCGTGAGTGTTCTGTTACTAGTATTTTCTCAGTAAAATATTGCCAAATTCATTTCTAGAAAAAGGCGCGTAAAGAGCAGACGACCGACACACTAGATGAACCAGTTTACGAAGAGATAGGTCTCGAACGTGAAAATGACGTGAGTATAATTTTTCCTATCACAAGATACTTATAACTGACTTTGTTAATTAGCGAGTACAGTCCGTGGGTAATATCCCTTTCGAGGGATGACGCACAAAAACACACAAAAACGCATGCCATAGGTCGGATAACGCAAACCGAGCCTACCTGCCAATAATACATTACAAAAGTAATAAAGGGGCGAAAAGTTTTGTTATATAGCACTTGGTTATTTTCGGTCGAGCAAAGAGGAGTACAGTGTATTTGTATTGGTAATTTAATTACATTATTTGATAATTTCATTCATTAAATAGCCAGTGCAAGATATTACGTTTGAAGTTTGAACATTATTTACAAACAAAAGCGCATAAGGTGGCACTGGTCTGCTTTGCCTTATTAACCTTGTATTTACAGTCAGTATTAATTAACAGCCCTCAATTGGCATATCCCACCTATATAATTAGAAGCATACCCACTTCCTGTGTTTTATCAACATTTTGCAATATATAGAAACAACCCTAATCCTTACGATGGTCATCAACAAAACAACTTTTATGATAAGTGTATTTACTATATCTATCATATGTTAATCTTCATCTAAATAAACATCTATACAAACGTTTAAGATTACTCATCGGAAAACGTTTTTCCCACTAACTAAGTTAATCTGAAATGCGATTGGTTTGTAAAAATATCAATTTTAGTTATCTTAATTTATTTTTAACTCGATATTTCATCGACCAATCACATTTCACTTGTTTCGTTGTAAACAAGAAAATGATTTCCCCATGTTTATTCTATAGTTACTGAAGCGATATATATATTACGCTTTATCACCTGACCACGGTATATGACACAAAATTTATCGTTTTTTTGTTATATTTATGTTGTTACATTTTAAAATTGTATGATGCTTCGTAACCATTAATTTGTTAGGATCGAAAGTGATAACCCTTTGCCACCAGTACCGAGCCTGGGTGGTTTGCACATCCACGCAATCTATAAAAGCTATATACTGTTGGTAACTCAAGTTTTATATCGCCTTGGACTGGCTGTTTCAAATTTATAGCAGGTCAAATACATTAAACACATTCAGAAGGTCTAAGGTCCAAAGAAAAAAAAGACTACACGGTTTGAGGTTTGTGTTGTGTTGTTTCTTGTAGTCGTTTAAAACCTTCCTTCAAGTGTAAAATGTTTTTCAGTGCGATAGTATCTAAACATTATTTATATATATAGTATAAAGTTTTAACAGCAGTATTTCAAGGAAACACATAGACGCCGATAACATTACAAAAACCACAGTGTCTTTAACTTCACGTTAAAATATACGTCATTTTGCATTGTTATACAGGCTAGAAATGCATCAGATGGAAGCTATATTTCGGTACCATCTTTAGATTCTGCGTTCTATGAAAGAAGTCCGAACACAACTCTAAGAAGCAACAGCTCTCTTTCTTCTTTACTTTACGATGAACCGGAAGTGTCTGTGAGCAGTCGCTCGGCAAGGTTATACGATGGTTACCCCTCTTTAGGGACTATCAAAAGGTTATTCGATGGTTACCCCTCTTTAGGGACTGTCAAAAGAGGTGGTGATGATGACGACGACGACCACGACGATGATGATGCCCATACTTACGTGTCAGATATGTCGCTAAGGGACACAGACAGCGACAGTACCTCGTTAAAGAAATATGTTCCAACTAAAACAAGAAACGGTCTTGGCAGACCATACACATCGTCTGTCCCTCTTGACGATGTACCCTATATGGTTGAGGCTTTTCAACCATTGCTGGAGCACACCATTGATGTGACGGAAGTTGTTCCTCACATTCCATTTATAGGTAAAATCAAGCTTTTCTCAGCACAAGTTATCACATACATGGAGGGTCTCTATTTCTTGAAGTTGAGACCGACCACTATATTGTTTTGACTTTAAAATTGCTATATACATTAAAAACGGCATGCCTTTGCCCAATTTGTTTGTTGAGGAAGGTCGATTTTCTGGAAAACTGAAACGTTATGCGGGAAAACTAAAAACTATCGTCTGCAAGTTGATCTGATAAAAAAGGAGTAATATATACATTTATATTATTAGAGCGTTCCTGATCTCTGATGATATTTATCAATACATATCTATTTTATTTAGGAAGACAATCCCTATTACTTTGTTTCATTTATTTTAGGACAAGAAAATCACCTCTTGAATATACTTTTTTTGTAAAAAAAAGACTGTTATTTTCGACATGTTATTGTCATAACATTAGAACATGCATTCGATGATTTAATACAGATTTGTTTTAGCTCTTTACTCTTTTTTTTGCAGATGCACATGAGTTTTTAGGTGGCGATGACGCAGCAACAAAAGTGAATTTATTGATAAAAAGGATTAAATCTTGTGATGAACCTGGTAAATGGCAAGCGTTTCTTCATGCACTAAATCAAGCAGGTAATGTTGCTTTTTTCTAGTTTCAAAAATTTAGTCACCTACCCTCATGTTCCGTTCACATTGTATTTTCTGTTCACATATGTATCGATTATGAATGTAATCGGATAAAAAAACTTACCATTAACCAGGGATATGTATGTAACTTGGTTTGAATTGTGCCTCCTGTCATTGTAGATGTTGCGTTCACGGAAATTCTGTAATAAATATTTTAATGTGAAATGGCCTATTCTACAATGTAATATCTTATATTATTTTCCAGAGTACGAATATATAGTTAGTTTACTTCGAGGGGAGACAGAAGACGACCATTCTGTTAACAGGCATCTTTTAAAGTTATTTACTCCACAGATCATGAACAGAATAGATCCAGAGGAGTTTATTGACCATCTTTTCGAGAAGGGTGTGATAAATGAACGCGACAAAGAAGAGGTCAGATGTGAAAAGGACAGAAGAGGAGCGATAGCAGCATCGTTTATGTTGTTACATAAAGTACCAAGACGTGTGACTAACTGGTTTGCGGTGTTTCTTAACGTCCTCGAAAATTGCGGAATGGAAGACTTGATCCCACAATTCAATATACCCGAGATTTCTGTCGCTACAATGGATTTAGATCAGGAAAATGAACTACTTGATGAAAACAAGTATTATATCACACCAACAAATGATAATTATGATGAAGGTAAGCTACATATTTCTGAATTTGCAATGTACTAACAACATATTGCCTTTCAAAAAAATCTCTGCTAATGAAATGAAAGCATTATTTCAGTCATTCGTGACTACAAACTTATACTATTGTGATGGTTACTTCAAAAAGTGATGTATCTAAGCTTTTCCTCTGAACTTTTTCATGCCTATTATTACCTTCTCAAATTAGAAAATTAGATTATATTATTATATGATCAAAGATCTTTCTTAATAATATCTGTCATATGTTGCGGTTCGGACCGGAATATCCGTCCCGAGGGGACCCGCCCATTGGGCGGTAACGAGGCTTGCCGAGTTACCGCCCATGGGCGGGTTCCCGAGGGACGGATATTCCGATCCGAACCGCAGACATATGAAAGATATTTTTTCTTGCATATTCTGCCATATTATTTCATATTTAAAATGGTTTACCTCAATATGATATATGTTCATGGAAATTAAAGTCATTTCATCCATAACTATTTTCTTACATTAGCGTATGAACTTACAACGGCGAAATGACGTCATCCTAAGACATATTTCCCTTCTAAAACGACGTCATTTTAACGCGGTTCATTCATAAATGGCGCTAAAATGACGTTGTTGTTTGGCACGCGACTCATCTGGCACCCCCCATGCCAGATGAAATTTCCGGCATGGGTAAAACTCACGGAAACGCCAGTCTGCTATGCAAGAATAATAATATCTGTCATATGTTGCGGTTCGGACCGGAATATCCGTCCCGAGGGGACCCGCCCATGGGCGGGTTCCCGAGGGACGGATATTCCGATCCGAACCGCAAACATATGTCAGATATTTTTTCTTGCATATTCTGCCATATTATTTCATATTTAAAATGGTTTACCTCAATATGATATACGTTCATGGAAATTAAAGTAATTTCATTCATAACTATTTTCTTACAATAGCGTATGAACTTACAACTTAAATAACAACGGCGAAATGACGTCATCCTAAGCACATATTTCCCTTCTAAAACCACGTCATTTTACCGCGGTTCATTCATAAAGTGCGCTAAAATGACGTTGTTGTTTGGCACGCGACTCATCTGGCACCCCCCATGCCAGATGAAATTTCCGGCATGGGTAAAACTCACGGAAACGCCAGTCTGCTATGCAAGAATAATAATATCTGTCATATGTTGCGGTTCGGACCGGAATATCTGTCCCGAGGGGACCCGCCCATTGGGTGGTAACGAGGCTTGCCGAGTTACCGCCCATGGGCGGGTTCCCGAGGGACGGATATTCCGATCCGAACCGCAAACATATGAAAGATATTTTTTCTTGCATATTCTGCCATATTATTTCATATTTAAAATGGTTTACCTCAATATGATATATGTTCATGGAAATTAAAGTCATTTCATCCATAACTATTTTCTTACAATAGCGTATGAACTTACAACTTAAATAACAACGGCGAATTGACGTCATCCTAAGCACATCTTTCTCTTCTAAAACGACGTCATTTTAACGCGGTTCATTCGTAAAATGCGCTAAAATGACGTTTTTGTTTGGCACGCGACTCATCTGGCACCCCCCATGCCAGATGAAATTTCCGGCATGGGTAAAACTCACGGAAACGCCAGTCTGCTATGCAAGAATACTCTACGTCAAAATGTTCCTTTTTATTGCCGTCTGTTTGATATTAGCTACTGAATATCATTTTACTTCTATCATAGTTTCTTGTTTTTAAGACATAGTGACGACCTTGTAGGAAAAAGCAAATGCATTGTAAACATTCTTTTTTAATAACAAGTTTATCGTATTCTCTTTAATAGATATAATGCAGACAAAGGTGCCTTTTAACAGGCCGCTCCAAGATCGTAAGAGGGCTATTAAATCTTCACCTAAACGTACACAGGCGCCTTCCATCAAGCCCCCACCACCCCCGGTGCGTGTTTCTCCTATAGTTGTCCGACCACACAGCCGTCCAAAGACTCAAATTGAACTGCTCAAAGAAAAGAAAGATGCTCTTCAGCGAGAAATAGAAGAAAAGCGCTTGATAAGACTGTATAGGCGGGAAGTTAAAGCACTGCAATACGAGTTGGAAAAGTTAAAAAATTCTGGTGGGTAAATAAATGTAAAAATATACGTCTATTGAAATCGTTTTGTTTCTAATAATTAGTTACTAGTATCAGTTGAATGTGATGGGCATTTTCAAATTTCATCACTTAATGTCTTTAAGTATCTTATTTTATTTGGATTTTGTTTCAGTGTGCATGAATAATGATATATATCTTATTATTAATACAAATGTAGTTAGAAAAGTTTTTCTGCTTGATTAATTCCATTTCTGGTTCATGTATATCTTATTTATTTTTTTTTGTAAAACTTTATATAAAAAATACATATTGAATTGATTTTTATTTAAATATTCAGAATATTAAATGATTTTTATTTTAGATGAAACTGATGGAGAAGAAGATGAAATAGAATCAACAGACGAAATGTCAAGAGAAGAACTTGCAAATGATGTTTCCAACGGATATGTGATCGAGGATATTGAAACGGAGAACCTCAATAACGAGGAAACCAATGATGAAAGAATAACAGAACCACCAATTGACATTGGCCTTGAACAAATTGATATAGAGAATGAACAAGAACAAGTTATAGCTGATCAAATACAACAAATATCTGCACTTTTCACAGAAATGAGACATGAATTAAAGAACGATATTTTAGCGATGAGAGATCACGTAACAGAGACTGTACTGAATTCCGTGTTAGGTTTAATTTCTAAATCCGCTTCTACTGAAGCTGAAGGAAACGGGTACGTGATGGTGGAAAATGAACAAACAGTCCTGCCGTATAAAAGGCAACTATACAGTACTTCAAACAAATATATGCGTGGATTGATGACTCCAAAATCACATTCTATGCAAACAAATATTTCCATGGATTCAGCCATGTTTAGCGATCTATCTTATGTGTAAATAAATTGCATCTTTCTCAGTGAGTTTTTTAAGAGTCTGTCTTGATAAATCAGACTAAAAGATTTTCTAAATTGTTGATACAAGTTTAAAAAGTTCATGAGTGACAGAGTCACGTAGCTACAAAGTATCACAACAATTTGACACCAGTCCTATAGAATGAGCAAAATGGTAATGAGAGTTCAACCCCCGCTACATATGACTAAACTTACTAACAAGTTTTTCGGGTGAGACTTTTAAAAATCGAAGTGCCGTGTAATATATGTTAAAACGCTTGCATTAGTTTTAATAGTCTCCAAAAATAAAATTGCATGGGTTTCAGTTGTGGACTGTTAAATGAAGGTGTGTCATGCATTTCATATAAAGCATTTTGTTCATCAACCTGCGGGGCTTCTTGACTTCACTGTAATGCTTGGGAGATGTGCATCTAATATTCAAACGGAATAAACACGGACATATCGGGGGTGTTCCGGTATTTCAGTAGTGTTTCGGTATTTCGGTTAGTCGTGTGACCCCGGACATATGACCAACCTTTTAGAATGTTTTAAGCATGTGTACTAAGGATGGATCTCTTGCATTTCAGTTCTTCCATTCATATATATTAATCACCTTACTTGATCAGCATTATATTTCTTACTGTCCAGTTCGGTTTATGTTTTCTAATACATATAGAAAATATATCAATAAATTTGAAGCAAGCATTTATATAGTTTTCAGTGAATTTATTTGTATTCAATTTGTATTCAGCATTAAACTGTAAGTTAAAAGAAATGAATATTTTGACATAAATTGCGTCACACATGCCACACATTGCGTATACCAATGCCTCGTAAATATCGTGCAGAATCCAGCTTTTGTTAAAACAAAACATCAGCAACTCTAACGTTACCACTACAGAAGAATTATAAATGTTCTATGAAGAAAATCATGGTGTCACATAGGACATCCAGTTAATGCATTTGTCACGTAGTTACACAATTTCTTCATATTTGCTTCTTCTTTAAGATAAAAATGTCCACCATTTAACATAGTTATAGAAAATAGCCCTGTCGTTATGTCGTTCCAAGCTGTAAAAAAGAAAATATATCAAACACATTCAGACAGATAATAATTTGATGTTAAGTCTAGACAAGAAGCAATTACCATGCACAAATTATTAAAATCCATTTATGATTTTGTTTCATTTGTCATTCAAAATTGAATTAACATTTTGGAAATACCAAAATAATCGTATTCACACAAAATTCTCGTATGCATTTATATCCTAGACACTGGAATTATCCATGTTGGTCGAACTCAGTGAAATAATGGCAAATGGTATACTTTACAAGTTGTTCAGTTATAATTCTATCTCAGCATCATGAAATCTTATTACTCATAAATGGGTATGACTAGTAAATCAGGATCTAGCATTATGCGTCCTGCTAGAATATTATTAAGTGGTATGTCCCTTTGTGTAGATCGTCCTAAGATGGTCAAATAGAAACGTATTTATAATTCATACCTTGTAAATCATGTTCGGCATCGTCTTTACCATCAAACACGTCTACAGGACAACTAAACATCCCTTGTTTTGAAGGCGGCTCTGTGCTGTAAATACAATTTCGTGAAATGGTAAAACTTAACAGGATGAAAGCTTACTTAATAGGATAAAAGCTTTAACAATTAACTTTGTACAATGTACTTAAATCATTCAATTTAAATCTTAACATTTCGACATTTTCGTCAATCTTCGGATAACATTATTTGACGTGTTCTGTGCAATCGGTGAGATGGTCCGAATGTTATAAATCGAGCAATGTATACTGAAACTACGTCTCAGATTAAAGCATTTATTAAAAGAATTATGTCGTAAATGTAAAAATACAATATCTAAAAAGTAACGCTATACTTTCGACATAAATACTGTGACATTTACGAGCCATTTCTTTGTTAAGTTAAGCGCACAATAAAGATAATTGTACGTGATTTGGTTCCCTGTTTTTACCTGATTTGTGGTAAAAGTTCGTAGTCTGCTCGCAAAGATGGTAGGAACAATGCCACAAGTTCTCGGTCTTCTATGATATCTGCGGGTGTACCCCCTTAAAATACAGAACATTAAATCTGTGATATTGAAGGACAGAATAAACAGTATGACATTTAATGAAATTATCATATACCATATTGCTTAATTTAAACTTCAAAACCAATAATTTATATTAATATGAATGTATGCATTAGACGCAATTATTTTTCTTTGTTTTGTGAACGGAACAGAATAGATAATAACTAATTTGGTGATTTTTTTTTATTTTCAATAATGTGGTAATATAGTTACCGAAGTGTTTGAGTAGGCCAATGAATTCTTCGTCTGTATATCCCTTTACATTAATTGTCGTCTGCTTCCTTTTCTCAGACTGAAACGATTTTTTTAAAGGAATAAAAATGATAAGATGACCAGGTATTTCAGGACTTACTACAGTAAGCCACTAGGTTTTATAATAATTATGTTCTCGCGAAAAGCTTAGAAATAATAATCAACGTGAAAAACATAACTTTCTTGGCGTTTTTCCTTGAAACATTCTACCAGAGCTTTTATAAATCCATTTACATAAATAGAACTAAAAATATAAAGGAGAAATGTGGGTAACTGTCTTTACGAATGTTCTATAAGCCGTGTCAATTAACCAGCTAAGAGTTTTGTCGACATCCATATCGGGCGAATTATGCAAAATTTATGAGTCCTTTTCGACCAGGAGGGCCAAACAGTATTAAAACGTTTTAAAAAATACCGCAATCTCGAAGTTCAGCGAAATTCCACAATGTAATGACGAATAGTAAGTCAAAAAAGGTCAAGGTAAAACTTACATGCGGTGCTGATGTGCCGGACACGAATATATGCGTCGGTTCTAAACCGTCACGTTTCTTGAGAAGACAAGCTGCTTCGTACACCAGCAGTGCTCCTAGACTATGTCCCCAGAGTGCAAATGGCTTTCCATTGCTTCTTTCTTTAATCAGGACAGTCATATCGTCCAACAACTTTTCGAGCGTTCCATAGGGAGTTTCATTGAATCGACCCTCTCTACCGGCAAGACATACCCCGTGAACTGTCAATATTTACGAATTAAATTTCATTTATTGTCTCTTAAAAACAGTCAGCTGAGACAATAAAAGAAGAAGACATATAGTTCTAAAAGTTTCCAATTTTGATGATTTCAGGTTAAATCTTTATAAACATTAATGCAAAATAAGACTTTTATAAAAGTGCATCATTTTACAAGCAATTTGGTTATTAGTAGTTGCAAGTACATATACATTTGTAGTTGAAATCGCAAAAAGTTCCGCATGGCCGAAGCCAACCAAACATACATGTATATGTAATAAGGAACTGAAGGCCAACCGAACATTTATTGTGGAACTAAAAAAACAACCGGGCATTAACTACGTAACTAAAAACCAACCGGGCTTAACTTACGGAACTAAACATAATGTAGCTGCTAAACAGTATAAAAAGGTCTTCATCTTTTCTCAGGCAGATGAATATGTCATATATGGGCCTCAGCAATAAGTCTTTAAAACTAAGTAGCGCCATTAAATAACCAAACTAAGCCGCACGCACAACAAAGTACAAAGTATCCAGTTTAAAGAAAGCCCTCTGAAATTGGTGAGAATTACCTTCTATTGTATCCGGTAAATATTTTCCCCAGTTTGAATAAAAATTAGCTCCACCACCGGCCCATGGGAAGCAAAACAATTTTACATTAGCATCTGGGCGTGGGTACCGACATGCCAAATATCTGGAACGGTTATCTGCCATGTTGTTATGTTATTGAAACCCTGGCGAAATAGATAGAAAAATATCTTAATGAAATACAAAATTTTTACTGATTTAATCAATTAAATATGTATATTACGTCTTGTCTCCTTTTTTAAAAAACATATATCGAAAATTATACATACACTGTACATATACCTATTGCCGGAATTATTGATCTAAATCTATGGATACGAGGAAAGGTGGTCTTCCTAAGGAAAGGTGGGCTTGATTAACAGGTAAATAAGGGAAAGGTATGTTAAGGAAAGCTGAATAACAATATGTTAGCACCATAAATTTTCAAAGATGAATAACGGATTTTCTTTGTGTTTTGATTCACATAGTTGTGACTGTATTCGTCAATTTAAAAATGACTTAAATATACGACAGTTACTTTGTACATACAGATCTCGGATATTTACTGACTAATGGGTTTATCTGTATGTTAAAGATAGTTTATTCGTCATTATACGTCTATTTATAGACTACAACCATATATATGTATATGGTTTATAATATACATGCATATATAGTAAACCTGTGAAATATGTATGTTTTTTTTCGACACAGGTAAAACCAAGTTATAGTCATTGCACATAACATTCGTATATTGAAATGAAAGCTTTAAAAGGTATATTTTAATAAACAACTATGTACAAAAGACGAAGAAGAAAAACAACATTACCCTTTGTCTAAGTCCACACAATACAAAAAATCCAACAAAATCGAATGAATTATATGTATTAATGGTTTCTTCAATGTCACAGTATTTTTTTACACAGTACACACTATATCGAGCACGTTTGTTTTATCATGACGTGTTGTATAATTATATAGAATATATATACATACAATATGCTTAATAAATTATCCTGATTGTAGAACACAAGGCTGTCAAGACAATGACATAATTATGTAACTAGTATGACCTTAATACATCAACTGTCTGTTTAATACATGTAAAGTTTTTTCTTCTTCTTAAGACGTTTATCAGAAAATTTACATCATGTATATAACTTGAAAACCGAAAGAACCAGGAACTCTATTTGATAAGGGGACGTTATCAGTTAAAGCTGGTATTAAACTATTATTTGATAAAATTGTCAGGTTATTGTATTAGGTGAACAGCTTAAGATACATTCCGTTCAATTGTGTATCGGCCATGGTTTGTTTTATAGTTGCATATTGTTCTGATTGGCGCATTATAATTTTAACCAGATATTTCAGGCTTTTTGATATTTTTTGTTAACAGTTAGATATATATAATTGTGCCCATTTACTCCTCCTTCTTCTTTTCCTTCTTCTATTTCTTTTTCGAAAAATTACATTCCTTCATGAAAATTAAAGATTATTTGTAGGCGCTGATAATAAATGTTAAAATTTGACGTGCTGTACAAACAGTGAAATGGTTTATGACTTTATATATGTCCTAAAAACACAATTATCCCCCCTTTTCAACTACATTGTAGTTAAGAATGGGATACATGGTTACAACGGGGGTGGGTGCCATATATGAAACTTCATACAAAGAGGCTGAATGTTTATATAGGAGACTGGTAAGTAAAGTGACAACTGCTTCATAGGTTTCCACTTTGTCAGCTTGATTAAGATTTCTATTGGGTTATAGTTCTTAGGTACAATGAGTGTATGTATGAGTTTTAGTCAATATTCCAAAATGCGCAAATAGTGCCGTGTCGATTGTACAAGAATTAACTACAAAATGTTGAACTACTAAAAAACATTTTAAGGCGTGTTCTGCATGTAGTTAATCTAATTTTTGTTTCCCCCCAATTTAAATTATTCAACATATTCAAACTGAGCCTGTATTGTGGTAACGGTTGGTTGCAGCTCTTCTTTGCTCCTTTTCAGTTGGTGATCGGACCATTGCATAGAAACCAGAAACTTTTATTTACAGATGTAATATAAAGCTCGATGTAGACGCCCACCAATTATCTGTGACAACGCATACTTTAAGCGTTCACACATACAAAGTATTAAAAATGTGCCTTCCATAGTGGTAGACCCTTTATATGCTATATATCTAAATAATGTATCTATTAAAAGCTTGAATATTTTCTGACGGGCTATAAAATACCTTAACATGTGCGTTCAATACATCAAAGATAAGCATAAACAATATCATAATAGGTCATATTTGCATTAACAACAATCTAGACCATATCGAATTCTTTAATTTTCTAAAACAAAATAATAAGAACTACAACATTGCATATTTACCAGTCGAACATAACATTGTTTGATGTTGTCGTGTACTTTATATAGTATCTTTTAAGATTTACTAGGCAAAGAACTAACAACAGCGTATATTTCTACCGAGTGCATATATTTCTATTTTATGTCGCTTGATAAACCATTTTGATCCGGAGAGTAACGAATAGTTTCGTAAGAGGAGAAGACGACGTAAGTTTAAATTGAATTTTATAATAATTTACAGATGATTATATCATTTAAATATTAAAAGATTATTCATATCAATTATATCTAATCATAGCAATATGATATATTTATTGTCAATTGCTTATTTTCTCTAAACTTGACATTTCTGACTGGCTATATTTATGGAACATGCCATAATTCGGATATGATCAGATGATTCTTTTAATTTCCGATTTTATGTTTTTATATTTATACATTCTGCATAAATACTCCTATTAATATCTTTCATCGTTTAATTGACAAATTAATGCTGTTTCACATGTACTGTCCTTAAAAAATCCGAATATCGAATGTTTAAAAGTATATTTTGAATTTCTTTAAATCGTCAAAAACGTTGTCACTTTATTTTGTTATCAATTAACTTAACGCTCCAAACATATGCCTTTTGAAATGAATGAACATAATTTCTTGAAATGAATACACATAATTTAGAATATACAAAAATATGGTTACTTGTAATTAAACATGCCTGTGTTAATGCTGAGTGAATAAACTGTTCATTAGTTTCATAAGTCAACAAAAAGTTGTTCTTAGTTACATAGATTTGTAAATGAAGAAAACCACATTTGAAATACAGTGTACCCAAATTTTGAAATGCACCCACAAATGTCAATTACAGGGGGGTACATGTAACTTTACATTTGAAATTGAGTGTGCATTCTGAAAGGGTGTGATGCAGAGTGATATGTAAGTAGTGTATGTAGGTAGGTAACAGGGTTTATTTGTTTAGGGTTATACATGTTAAATATGGCTAACAGCCTTGTTGAACATAGGCCCAACAGGGCAAGGCATTCCAATGAAAAATGGTCTTGGGGAAGAATGCTATAGTTTATAGTTGTTTGTATTTCATGTAATTGATTTAACAATTTACAACATAAGTATTGCCCAAGCTCTTAAACTTTTATCTCTATATAGGTATTTTAATTGGTTGTATATTAAATCAAACCATATGCATTTATTCCAGGTTGTGTGAATCATTGACTGACCAAGAAAGAGAGAATAAATGAAAGATATAAAATGGGTGTTCTTGTGAGAATATGTCAGAAATTATCCAGGAAATTTGCTCAGACCATTCCAGCATGTACTTATAGAAAACTTTCAACTTTTCATGGGAGTATAGACAGATACAATGGTGTAACAATTAAAGTAAAGGATAATATTTCACCATCAATGAGTGTGGAAGATTTTCAAAATTTACTGAAAGGTAATTATATGTTTACATCAATATTTATACACAGTTATACTCTAAGACTAATGTTTTAAAAGAATGTTCCTTCATGGACATTTGTTATTTATGTTGCAAAAAATAATTTTCTTTTAATATTGTAGAATTAATGATATTTTGTTTGCCTATGGCATTGTGATACACATAACAGTTGCACAGTGACATCAAGTTCCAAAACAGGCTTTGGTGGTCAACTTTGATGTCATGTGTACAAAAAAGGCTGACACAATTGGAATAAGATAAACTGAATCTAATCTGAAATATGGTCAACTTTTCACATGCCAATGTTCAAGACGCTACTCTCGAGTTAGCAAAGTGTAGCCTTCTACCTAAAATTGTAAACTTCTTTTAAAGTATGCCATTGTTAACAGGTTACAGGTGTTCAAATAGTTTGTGATATGTTAATAGTCTTAATTATAGAATTATAAAGGTTTTATTCTAGAATCATTATAATATTAAATTATGATATAAGTTTTTGTTCTAGAATCACTAACCAAGTGGAGGTTGGAGGAAAGAACTGCTATATGGTTGGAGATGCCAATAGAATATAGTAGATATGTAGAGGCTGCTGCTGCTGAAGGGTTTGAGTTTCACCATGCTGAACATAGTCAATGCTTGCTTAAACTTTGGTTAAGAGATGGAATAGATGCCTCACCAAGATTTGCGACACATCAACTTGGAGTTTGTGGTAAATATTTATCTATTTGCACCAATATTAAAGGACTTCTAAGCTTTGCAGGATAAAGAAAATCCCAGATGCCACTCTATCCATTATTTCAGTCATTATCAGGTGCCTGAATTAAACTACTTACCTTATTTAAGCATGGTCTATTGATTCAAATTACACTATATTTTTATATAGTTTCATTTTAACATTGATATACAATTGATATAAGGCAAATTTCTCTCACTAGAGTATTTTATTACCATGACATTTTCCCTTTGTGGCTGAGGGGTTGCCATTAAGGGTTGAAGCATCAAAATTGCAGCTACAGATAATCCCTGGGTAATTTTAAGACGCTACTCATTGGGTTCGAATAACTGGAGTATATGCATCATTTAGCTTCAGCATGTGAGGTGGTTTTGATCCCTGGTGTTGCTTTAAGTTTGTAAAGCTTTATTAGCCAAAATCATCATTCTTGTATCATTCTATGCCATATGACCTAAACTGTATTGCTGTGCAGTATAACCAAACAAAACTTAAGTCTTAAAAAGGCATCCTGTCACTATTTGAGAAATGTTGTTCTTGCATTTACAGGAGTTGTTATTAATGAAGAGACAAGGGAAGTTCTAGTCATGCAGGAGAAAAAAAGCCAAGTATGTATTTCAAGTTTTTGTTTTTCTCAAGGCTTATACATGGTGCTAATTTTATGTCTTGAATTGCATTGTAAAACTCTTGGAAAAATTGAAATGGTATATATTGAAGTAAAAAAATGTATTTCAGACTATTCCATACATGAATTTAGATTCTTTCATATGAGAAAGCTATCTTTTTATGTTAATACTTAATTTATGTTTTGTACCCATCTCTTCATGCCAACATCAAACATATGGTTTAATAGTAACAATGTCTGACTAAAAATCCCGCAAGTTAATCCTGCTTTAATGAAAATTACACAAAGACATTCAAATGATACTCACTTGTGAGACTTTGTGAGACTATGTGTTTTCATGCATTACACATTATACTTTAAATAACCAGTTGATATTTATTTTTTTAGGAATACTATTATAGAGAGCTAATGATCTTGCACATTTCACTAAAACTTGAAAGAATTCATTCTCTACTTTAGGTGTCACCCACATGAATTATCTGCGATGATTTTTAATAAATGTAAAACCCTTGATGTGAAAAAAGGCTTAAAGTAAGTATTTGAACCAATAACTTATATTAACAGGCAGTTTGCCATTTGTTTTATTGAAATTTGTAAATTTTGTATAATATTATGTATGCACAGAAAAAAATAGGGAAAAACTCTCCTTTTTTCAGTTCAATAAATTTTGGAAATTTCCTGGTGGATTGGCAGATCTAGGGGAGAATATAGGTGAGTCTAGAATTGGTTCTAATACTACATTATCTAATTATAACACTAGTCTAATTACTTTATTATGTGATGTATAATTTTAGATGATCGAGATATTTATGTTTAAGGGAACATAGATAATTTGTCATTTGAGATATATGTTGTAGGTGTCCTTTGATGTTGATGCCCTAGGCCTTATGTTGTCTATGCTATATGGTGTATGTTTTATATGTTGTTGGAGCCCTATGCCATATGTCACTAGTGTAATATGATGTTGGGACTGTATAATGTTGATGCAAAATTTCTTATGTCACCAGCGTTATATGATGTCAGTTTTATCTGTTGGACACTTGTATATGCTGTATAATTTACATTTTTTTTTTGTTAAATTGGTTTGCACTAGGTTGTTTATATACTTATCTTGTTAGCCATTCTGTGCTTTCTGGAGTTACTTGTTTTGTTTGTAAACCATTTTTTAGCTTGACTATTCGATAAGAATAAGTAGAGCTATTGTAGTCACCCGAGCATCGGCGTAACCACTTATGTTAAAGTTTTTGTAATACCTTAAATATTTTCAAAGTCCATTGACATATGGCTTTGAAACACTTGTTCACCATCATGACCCTAACCTTAAACAGGAGGAGGTAACTCTATCAAGCATTTTGACAGAATTATGCCCCTTTTTCGACTTAGAATTTACGTTAAAGTTTTTGTAATACCTCAAATATTTTCAAAGTCCATTGACATATGGCTTTGAAACTTTGCACACTTATTCACCATCATGACCCCAACCTGTAACAGGAGGAGGTAACTCTATCAAGCATTTTGACAGAATTATGCCCCTTTTTCGACTTAGAATTTACGTTAAAGTTTTTGTAATACCTCAAATATTTTCAAAGTTCATTGACATAAGGCTTTGAAACATGTTGAAATTTCATACTCTTCTTTGAGAGCATAATAGAACTCTCTCCAATGCCTATAACTGTAATATGGATTTAAAGAAAAATTTTGCCTTTTTCTTTACTGAGAAAATTTTACCTTTTAATCAAGGCTTTTTTTACTATCAAGCACTAAGAATAGTTGAGAGTTGCTGTCCTACCGACAGCTCTTGTTGATAACTATAGTTGCCTGTTTATCTTGTGTAGTGTAATTAATCATTCTGTGCTTTCTGGAGTTGCTTGTTTATCTTGTTAACCATTTTCTGCTTTCTGGAGTTACTTGTTTATCTTGTTAACCATTCTCTGCTTTCTGGTGTTATTGGTTTATTTTGTTAACCATTCTATGCATACTGGAGTTACTTGTTTATTCTGTTAACCATTCTGTGCTTACTGGATTTACTTGCTTATCTTGTTAACCATTCTGTGCTTACTGGAGTTACTTGTTTATCTTGTTAACCATTCTGTGCTTACAGGAGTTACTTGTTTATCTTGTTAACCATTCTATGCTTACTGGAGTTACTTGTTTATCTTGTTAACCATTCTGTGCTTACTGGAGTTACTTGCTTATCTTGTTTACCATTCTGTGCTTACTGGAGTTACTTGTTTATCTTGTTAACCATTTTATGCTTACTGGAGTTACTTGTTTATCTTGTTTACCATTTTATGCTTACTGGAGTTACTTGCTTATCTTGTTTACCATTCTGTGCTTACTGGAGTTATTTGTTTATCTTGTTAACCATTTTATGCTTACTGGAGTTACTTGTTTATCTTGTTTACCATTTTATGCTTACTGGAGTTACTTGTTTATCTTGTTAACAGTTCTATGCTTACTGGAGTTACTTGTTTATTTTATTTGCAAATGTATACTTATTGGCACACAGGACAAACATGTTTATCTTGTTACCTTTTTTTTGCTGTTCTATGCTTACTTGAGTAACTTGTTTATCTTATAAGCCATTCTATGCTTACTGGAGATGCTATGCTTACTGATGTAACTTGTTTATTTTGTATATTTAATGCTTACTGTGGTTACTTTATTATATTGTTTACCATTCTTTGCTTTTCTACTCATGTTTTTTGTTTACATGTGTGTGCTTACTGGAGTTACTTTTTTGTTTTCCTGTTTATCATTCTATGCTTAATGTGTTTACAATGTATCCATTTTAGGCTTACTGAATACACTTTTAACTATGTTCCTTACACATATTATGCTTAATGGTCTTATCTTTTACCCATATGTCTGTTTACATTGCAATCTTAAATGTTTTTCATTGTACCTTTTCAATTCTTATGGAACAAGTTAATAATTTATTTAAAGTGGATTGATTTACATTTGTCACATTTTCAATAAGTATTCCAAATATTTATGAAAAAATAAAAATAAATAGAAATATACTATTTGGGTATTCATATAAAATATTGAAAACAAAGTTGATAAAGTTCTAAGTGATGTAGTTTGAGCATTATATATAATGAATAATAAATTAATATTTTGTTGTAGAATATTTTATTATCTGCTATATAAATACATGTATATGCTGGTAGTAGGCTAACCACTACACCACAGTGGCAGTTCTGAAAAAGAATAAAGTAAATATTCTCAGACACTCCACTTCTTCCATAGAAACGTAAATATATCTGTAGCAAAACATTAAAGATAAGATAGTCATGGCTTGCTTACTATTCTGTACACCCAACCACATAAAAAAACAACAACATTTTTTACTAGATTTGTAAAATGAAGGTCAATGGACACATACAGCAGTATAAAATGATTCTATAATCAGTTTCACATACGTGTTAATAGTATCATGATATATTGTTTTCTTAAAAACAACTTAAGATATTCCCCCATGTAGAAATGACTTGATGTAGAAATGACTTTATCGCTTACAAAATTTTAAAAAGCCCGCGCGCACGATGTAAAGGTAGGTAAGTCTGATCCGAATAAGAATATTGTGTAACATTAGGTTGTCTCCCTTTGATAACTAACAAAAGTGTCGACAGACTTATTATGTCACTGATTGGTACTAACGGTATTTCGGAAAGTTGGGGGGCGTGGGGGATGAGAGCAGGTCCATGGATGGTTAGGGTTTCTGCCTTTGATTTGTCTGTATGCTTTAAGTTTGTTAATACTTCCTGTCGTATATGACATAATACTTGCGTTACTGTCAGGTCAGGTGTTGTACCGGCCAACCAATCACCCCTTGTGAGTAAGACGACTTGACCTTGACCTACAGTGTGCCTTCCGCGCGACGTGCACGTCTCGGGTGATTAGGTGAAACTGGCTTTTTGAATACATGCTCATGATTATTACAAGTTAAGTATCGGACGATTTTCTTCTCTTTTTGCTGGTAATGGAGCTTGTAAGATTACATTGCAGAGTTCGCTGCCACGAGGTTGCATTTGCACGTAAAATTTTGTTTAAATACTTAATATCTTCCACTCACACTGAGGCAAGGCATTCCCTTGTCCCCAAAATTGTGATTCCCTAGCATTATAATGAAGTTCACATGATTAACATAAATGATCCATGTGTTTTAGACTGATCACTGTAGGTGTTACTTATAGCCCAACCAGTGTTTTTAATTTATAGATAAATGGCAATTTTTCAGTGATAATTGTTCAAATGAAAAAGTGACGCAATTGTAACCAAGGAATGACATTTAATCATATATAGCTTCTTGGTGTTACACTATTAAGTATTTTATTCATTTATAGTTCGTGTAATTTCGGCCAACGTCGTTGTTCCTCGTTATGTTATATTTATCAGTTATGTTATATTTATCAGCGCAAGATTTTTATTTAAGATACGGAATGTGACGTAATTTGTCGAATTTCCACGAACGATTGCGATTTGTGTTTAGATATAACTCGCTAATTTAGGATGTAAATGTCTAACAAAGAATATGAAGAGAAGCTATACGGATCTATTTGAAATATGATATGTTTGTCTAATAACTGGTTGCCTCTTCGTTCTCCTTCTATAATGTTTTTAACTTACAAGACCACCAAAATGGTTTGTAGTCAACATTGTCTATTGTTGAAGGTTACTTTAACGATAATGCTCAACGCCAATTTCACTAGTATCATTAAACCTAACAGAATAACTGCCTCTCTAATCCAGCCCTATCAGTTTCTACGCGTCTCGTGTAGATCTAGACTTGACTATAGGTAATAATGGTGATTAATTCCCGTCTACTATCTATATTACAGTGAAAATATGCGTAAGATCAAAGAAATGTCTGGGGACATCTACCGTTAGCTTTTATTGCATCGAGTTTTGGGACATGAATAATTGCTTGACGGTTATTTCGTATGTATTTGTCATGCCGGGAAAGAGAGAGTGGAAAAGCTCATCAATTCCGTCTTTGATCGCCGGCGATACTGAAGAATGTGTGATGTGTTCTCTTTGGGGCGGAGATATGAAGTGTTCGAATCTATTTATCCGAGGCTTGATGATATTTTAGCAAATACAAGGGTGGTCCTCTACTGACATTTAGAGATTCATAAATGATCTAAGACCTGTTATGCGCTATTAAAATTTTCAATATACTTCAGAATCTGCTCTCGTATTTTTCTTACAGGTTGCTACACCATACCTGTGAATTCTAGTATCTCCTTGAGCGATTAAAATGATATATTTATAATTATGACAGGTGCAAAAATACATCGTTCCGACCGGCGGTATGTACGCGAGCCTAATGTAAAATACGTTTTTATTTTATTTATTATGTTAGAATTACACTTCCTTTCGTTTAGATTTATTTAATGTCTTTAGGTTAGTTTATATTATTTGGCTTTATTATGATATAACATCACTCATTCTAATTGCCGTAGTTTGGTGTCTTCCGTGTTTGCTGCGTGTCTTGGTTTATTTATGAGTTCTTTGCTATGTTTAATCACAACGTCTGACTGCTTTATTTATAAAACGACTTTCGAATGAACTTCATATCCTGAGGATCTGCCTTATCAAAGCATCATACAGAATAACGGTATCTATGTTCTTCACAACAACATTATATTTAGATATTTTCTTATGTCTCTGTTGATATTTGATTCGTTGTTTTCTAAAAGCGAAAAAGAACTGTGACGTTTCGGGTTTTCATGAAAAAAATTGCACCCGATCAGCACCGCGACGTAATGATATCTTGTCGTAGTTGCTTGTTTAAAGAACATTGCAGTATGCATGTACGACTTGAATGGTTTCACTACCAGAGCTTTTTCAGTCCTTATATTGCCTCCTATGTCATTGTTATGATGGACGTAGATTTCTCTTTATGTATTTGTATCACTGCGTCAAAGACTTAACCATAAAAATATGGTTCAAGGGCTAATAATATGACATTGGTTAAGAACAGGATATGCCAGTTTTAAATGAATGGATAGAAATTTTTTTGGAGTAAGAACTTTTTATATATATTTATGATTATGTAGATAGTGTTCTTTTTTGTTAATTGACGTTAATGTTGACACTGTCTTGATGGTAATGTCAGAACCTTACACTTTGATAAGTATTGTTCCTTGTTGATCCTTGCCTTTCATTAACCATTCCTATAACGCATTACGTATACCTCCCAGTTCATTACCAATCTTTGCAAGCTAGTGATACTATCATTGTCCCTTGCCATTAACTTTCCCTGGCTAAAATAATTATATATTACCCTTTATTACCTTCCCTAGCCTTTTCGTTGTTTCTTGGCATTCGTTGCCCCTTGCAAATGAAATAATCTTGCCAATAATTAGTTATTGCCGTTCATTGCCTATTACCAATTATTAGTTATTGCCGTTCATTGCCTATTGCCAATAATTAGTTATTGCCGTTCATTGCCTATTGCCAATAATTAGTTATTGCCGTTCATTGCCTATTGCCAATCAGTACCGTGCTTGCCAATAATTATTTCGAGCTGTTCATTGCCCCTTTTCAGATCAAAAAGTTTCGTTTTCTGTCTTCTTTTGTCCTCTCCGATTTCTAATCGAATTTGAATTATATTTGTTTAAAGACATATAAATTACTTTAAAACTGGCTCTCGTATAAAATTTAAGCATAAATAAATTGTATTGTCCGACTTAAAGGGGAAAGGTAGTATAAAGTAATGTCATTTGACTGTATATTGACACATGAAATTTTTATTACGTACAAGGGTTGATTTATTTCTTCATACGATCCGAGAGATCAGAGGTGTTTATAGTTAACAGTCTGATCAATTGTGAAATAACCGGACTGTTGATCTCATTTGATTGTCTGCGACCTTAACATTGTCCTGTTCGGATCGGAACGTGTATGATAGATATTCGTGAATTAAGGTGACGACTACTGTAGAATCGCGAATAACAGACCTAAGATTACCCGACCAGTTATTGGTACATATGAACAGTATATGGTCTCAAAAATTATTCCCATTTGGTTGCAACAGAGTAGGGGTTGAAAGTGGAACTAAAATAATTAAAATGTACATGGTTTGGTTATCTCAGTGTTGATGTACTAACAGTCATAAAATACTTTTAACGCAAAAAAAGCATCAAATAGCTAGACCTTTTACACTTGAAGTCCAACTGACCATCCTCTTAAACTCAAAAATGCAAAAATATACTACCGAAGTCTTCATCTGTCAATAAAGCTAAAATATTGTTATAAGAAATCAAAGTACAGCCGGGACCACCTAGACCGAATGGTTAACGTTGCAGAATTCCGATCATTCGCTCTTCTTTGCTGGATCATTTCCTCAAGAGACTTTTTGTCCCTTCCAACAGTAAAGATGTCGCAATATCGATACTGTCGTATTAACAGTACTAATGTGACAAAACACACACTCAAAAATGCTTAAGAAAAATGTGATAAACTACCTTAAATCCATGTCAACGTACTCTTACACTTCATTTGCATTTAATCTGTCTGGAGGAAGAGGACACGGAATAATATCACCGTGACCTGAGTAGATTACTTAGTCAGTATAATGTAGGTATAATTACATGCATCACCCCGCCAAATTATAGGGTCTGCCGAGTTCAGTGAAGTTCAAACCTGGTCAGATAATGCGATGTCATGCACTTATCAAGTATCCCTTCTTCCTTTCTTCTAGAGTAACTGTCTGGTTTAAATGACTTATTGATGCAGTGACAGTTTGATGCAATGTCTCTCCCTATGTCAACTATGACCAGAGAATTAACTTCACATTTTATTTGACCATTTGGTTTGTAAGGCTTCGAAAGTTCAATAATGGAAACTGATAAAATTGTCAATATGTACATTTTGTTTTGGTAAATTACCGAGTGTCTGCCATTTAAGCGCCCGAATATTACCGAAATTGGAAGCAAGATATTGTGATATTTCCCATCATGTTTAAAATACTTGTCTGATTTTAACATTTAACCTATTTGTATTTTCAGGAGATGCTGCAGTTAGGGAAACGTTTGAAGAAACCGGTATTAAATCAGGTAAGTATACTTACGGACGTACATTAGTTTTGATAAACAGGTTATAAAAGCAATATTGATAACAGAACAAATTGTAAGTTATGTTATTTCCAATTCTGGGATGTTGCTTTGCTAAAGTTAAGAATTATTATAATGAACGTCTTAACAAGGTGTTGGGGAGACCGTGACTCGAAATATTTGACGAGAAATAAAAACAAAACAAAAACAAGTTCTTTATAAAAATCATTAACATTTGGACATATTTCACACAATTACATGTATAATGCAGGCAATATTGACGGCGACTTTTATGATATTAATGAAATGATGATAATGACATTGGTTTTGATTACAATAATGTAGATAATGGTGATAATAATTTTGAATACAATGATGATGATAATTATGATAATGACAATTATTTTGATTACAATGATGATGATAATTATGATACAATTATTTTGATTACAATAATGTAGGTAATGGTGATAATTATTTTGAATACAATGATGATGATGATGATGATAAATTTTATGATGATGAGTATGGTGATAAAAACAATGATCATTTATAATTACTGTAAACCTACGTTATGTTCATAGTGTTTTTTATGATTTGATAATTATAGTACCCATGTTTAACACTTGTCAATTCAATAACTGTCAGTAAAAGATAGCAATCTTAAATAAAAAGGCGCAGTGCGAACTTTATTCTATTGGTGCAAGTTGTCATTTTGTCATTTAACAAAAAATTATCTTACTCTGGAAGTTTATTTTTATTTTTTTTGTGGTTGAGGTAGGCTAGATCAGTACTTGTTTATCTGCGAACCATGGGTCACGCCTATTCTGCCAGTATTCAAGTCGGTCAGCCAGCGTCAGTCCGTGCAATGTCTTATCCAAGTTTATTGTGCTTAAAACAAACAATTCTGTGTCTTTTCCCCCGTGAAAAATTAATTTGGCAGTCCAAATTATTAAGCTGGACAACTTCACTAGTCTGTTCGACAAAGTCATTGGAAAAATATATAAATTCAATTAAGTTAAATAGTCCTTTGACAAAAATCCCCCTGTTCATTTACTATGTCTTTCCAGCTTGTAAAATTTATAAGAATCACTTCCATTTAAAGTAATAAATAGTTAAATGTTTGCTATCTTCAAATTGTTATTTTTTAACAAAGATTTAACTTGATGCACTAATATTTCACTATTATATTATTTCTTGGTGCTTTAGAACTGACAAAGAACTGAAAGGTTGTTTATATTTATTACATATTTATTGTTTAGAAAAATATGTTGATTGTTATAAATGCTTTTTGTCATCCTTTTCACCATAAGAGTTCAAATGCACAAGTTTTAATGGGTGAAAAAAAGACATTTCAATAGCTGAATTGGTTATAGTGTTATTTGTAAACCTACCTTGGTCGTTTAAAAAGTCATAAATGCACTGGCGCAAACAACGACGTCTAAATAGATTTATTTATGTGTACTTAGTTTGCACATAGTGTTCCTTTCTCGATGAAAACCGGCATGCAGAATAGAAATCAAATATCCATGTTTTTGGGTGTCCTTACACTGGGTGGTACAAACAAACCGCTTACAGATCTTGTGAAGTGAACGTAATTGAAAACTGATCAAAGTTCACTTTCTCCCATATCTGAGTGATTGATTGTGCTAACCTTGCAGTTTTTTTCCTTAACTGTATGGACCATTCAAAAAAAGTTAACAGGTTGCATTTTTTCTTTGCTTTCTCACTATTGTTCCATTAAGTTGTCGTCACACGTAGAATTTTAGATCAAATATTTGTGTTACTTCAGTAGTCATTGGAAAATAGTCTATGAAAGTATTATCCTTTGATATTGTGACGAACTGAGACAAGTTCATGTCATTTAGGCAGTTTTCTTTAAGCTTTGCGAAATGCCTGTCGTTTGGTATATCGCAAACATTGTGTTAAACGAACACCGAGGAAATGTGTGGTGTATGTGCTCGGAGTTTGTTATTGGCGGATCTTATTCCAAATAATCTTATATCATTGTAGGAAATGGTTTAATGCTAGAGTTCTGGAGTTTTTGCTGAAACAAACATTAACTGAGTCCGTCTCGTTATTGTCCAGCTAGTGAAAATATGTGTGAGGCAGTCTGGTGTTCGTCCCGTTCTTGTACAGATTGTGATTGCATGTTAACTGGTGTCCGTGACGTTATTGTCCAGCTTGTGGAAGTACGTGTTAAGCGGTCTGGTATAGGTGGTCACTGACAAGTTTACAAGCCCTTCCCACCTGAATCGTCATTTTTAAGAGTGATGTCTTTCATCATTAATGTCTTTCATTTCTTTTACTGTCTTGAATTTTGTACTGAAATTAAATTTAAGAAGCAGCAAGTACTATATGTCATTAAAATACTCGTCATAAACAAGCTAACCTTTTCAAATATTGAAACATTTTTTAAAAATTTAATCAATGATTGATACGCCCACTATACGCCCTTACATTTTGTAACCATTGATTAATGTATTGATTGACTCGTGTTGATATGCCTTCCAACTTCAAAAGTAATTATTTCTGATTTTTTACGGCTTTGAAAATATTTGCGTTTTAAACAAACGTCAGCATTTAGAAATGAAACATGAATAAAAAAAAAGGTTTTGGCTTCTGCGCAGTTCTGTGACCTTTCTCTGGTACACGTTATTTCTCATGGTTAAAATTCTGTCGCTTCATTATAAGCTTTATCACCATTTCTGCCTCATTACGCTAATTAGTAACAATTTACGCTTCAAACACCGAAATATACCTTAAAATTAGCAATATGCATTCAGGATTATGGAGCCGAACGTAATGGATGGGTAAAAGCGGCAACAGAAATGTAAATGTGTGTTAGTGGGTCAAACGTGGTTAAAACTCATAAAATGTTGAAATGCCGAGGAGAAAAACGAATTACATAATCTATGGGCATTTGAACACATTGACCTTTGCCGACCTTGCTTCTTGAAGGTCATTGATGCTGGTCCACTTGTGATCGTGCGCATGAATGATGTACAAAGCGGCAATGCTTAATGTCTTCTATTGGAGCTTACTATATGATCAGCATCTACCAAATAAAACGGATATGATATGTTACCTTATAACATAGAACAAAACTTGCTTGTGTCACTTATAAAGTAACAAAATTTATTATTTTTAACTTTCACATGCTTAAAAAAATTAATTAAACAAAAAATTGATTTAAAGATTGCTTTTTTATTTAAAAGCTTTCTAAAAGACCATAGCTTGTGATTCATGTGATACAGAATGAAAAGTAAATTTAAGACATAACTATGTTGTTTATGTACATTGTTACAAATGAAAACTAATGAAGACATATCTACATTTGTTACAAAATAACTGTATACCAATACTTTATTGTCCAGTACAGGAATATAATTTCCAAATTTGTTCTTATAAACCATGCTAATAGTTATTCACGATAGAATTGCTGTAATAATAAATTCGTGTGAAAATTCAGAAAGGCCGTACTAATACACCTACTTGAGTCGCATTCTCTTTGAATATTAGTTAGCGTTTCACATTTGCTAGAACTAAAACTTCTCGGCGTCATTACCAAAAAAATGCTGACATCAAACGGTTCAATCACAGAGCTCAAAAGTTATCTGATCCTACTGCACGCAGCGTTAATTCTATAATTTATTTGTACTTTACTGAAATCATTTACATGTTATCTCAAGATTTTATTAATCAAACTTGCGAATTCACAATTGTTGAATGACAGTTATGAATGACATTGAAGGGTTGTGTTTTTTTTTGTATCTAACTGTCTTATAGAACTTGATACATATTTGTTCTTTTAAAGAATTGGGAAGTAATTTAACACGATATTTATTACATTTTTGTAAAATAAAGAATAAGTAATACAATATATAAAGTGTCAAAATATTAAATTTCAATGTGTTCGAAAATTGTTTAGAGTAAAACAATGTGTTCCGGTGCCAGCAGGGTTGTCAAGTACTATCAAGCTAAACAACTTCATATTCGTAGCTGGCCTTCGTGTTCGCCATTTAAATTCTTTCGGTCACATTTACCAAAACATTACTGTCACTCTTATGTCATCGAACGATTTCAATGATACACAAACACCAATTCATTGTTTATGCTCGACAACTTACAGAAAGAATATATGAGAATAGAATGATTGAAAAAGTGTACATCTGCTAAATCTATTTGACTGAATGGACGGGTCTCTAGGAGGATAAGGATAGGTATGGGCTTTGCTTGTTTTTAATGTAGATGGGCTTTTATTAGGGTAAACACTGTAATCGAAACTCAGACGTAGGTATATCAATACAATACCCACAACGAACAGTTTATTTCAGAATTGAAAAGAGATAGACTGATAAAAGGTGACCTCTTGTCAAAGCTGTCTTTATTTCGTCCCAAACAAGAGCCTGGGAAACCGGTGCGAATGTAATAATTACACTTTGTTAACCTTACTCAAACAATACTGACTACTTACTGATGCATTGTTGGTAATTGTTTCTTTATCATATATCAGTCACACTGTAATCTTAGACCTCTGTGTCGCTGAAAGCAAAATCATGTCAAAGGCCAATAATGCGATTTTGAAGATACTGTTTATAAAGTCGTTTTTAAAATTGACAACCTTTCTTACATATTTATTTCTGCTGTTTTTAAACTGTGACATAATTCAAGGTCTTCGTCTTTTAGTTTTTATTATATCTATTACCTGACACATGAAAGTGTTTAATATCAAGTAATTTCATGAAAACGATATGCAAAACAAGATTTTTGTCCGATTGAAGCTTTGCGAGATTTACTATTTACGATAGTTGTACTTCATGAGGTATTTTTGAACATCATAAGGATTCACACAAATAAATCATTAACATTGTGTACAACAGATATTTGTAATTCTAAATGTGAAGTAAAAAAACCAGGTTGAACTATATGAATAGATTAGAAAGAAATACATATATACTCGTTTTTAATTTCAACCGCAAGATCAGCCCTATACGATGTCTAACATCTGGTAAAAGGCATTGCTTTTTTAGTTTATTAAAGTTCAATTTCATCGTATTCACGCATCATTCTAAATAGCAGCTCTCAAAAGTAGGCCAAACTTTGCACTAACGTGTACACACAATGTGTGTGTTTCTGTATGGTAAAACATTTTTAAAATAAACTTGCTTGCTGATTTTAGTAATTGAGCGACTCTTTGATATGTTTAGTCTCCTTTCCCTATGAATGAAATGCCTCTCCAGTATTTTAACAATGAATGTATTTTGTCGGCAGTCTATTTTAGACACAATGTTTTACAATAACTCTTTAGAGGGCATGTTTTCATAAACCGTGCGAACCCTTCTTCCACATTATTGAAAATGTATCATTTGATTCTTTATTTTAACTCCTTGTCTAATGAATGGAACAACGGTTTGATTTGTCGTGAATCACATTTCATTCGGTATAATCACTATTGCAAGTTAATTGTTTGTTTAAAAACACGGTGGGAATTTTTCAATGAATCAATGGGTAACATTATTTCAAGTCTACATCGAGGTGGTAGACCTCAAAATCAAATTGGTATTTGTAAATAGGACGAGCCTCTTAAACTTGAAAAGGGACAGTAAACTTGCTGAAGGTCCATTCTTCTCTGCGTACGAACTCTTGATTATATGTTTGTATTCTTCTGAATATGTTTGCAAAGACATACTTCAAATGCTAACTAAAGAAGTATATAACGTTTTACTAATTATTTCAAGTATTAAAGTATCTTAACATGTTTGATGACCTTTGAGAATGTGGAGGGTTTATAAAAAATATATTGTCATTTCTTTGTAGTTGTATTTCATTTTGAGGTTAAACATGCCAACAATAATATCTTAGATCAGTAATGAGGTGATGCTTTTTGGCTCTAAGATCACTGGGTGCCCGCATGCTTCCTGGCTGCGTTTATGTCTACAATTTGGCCATGAGCAGGTATTAAACTAAAAAAAACTTTAAGCCTATGAACTCAATGATTTCCTTATTTAACCAGCACAAACATTTCCGGATTCTCTCTTTATAATGTAAATCAGCCGACCACTTCATTATTTGTATTCCACATAGTCCTTCCCTTGTTTTATTATTCCATGTATGTCCTGTTGATTTATCATCAAACTTTCATTGTCCATAATAAGTGATATATTTGCCATTTTGCTGGTTCATAATGATATAATTGTTTTCCGGGAGTCATGTATTCCCGCCAGGAACCTGGCATGATAATTGATATAAATTGTTGTTAAATGGTACAACGTTTTAATAACGTTACATATTTACAACGGTAGCGTAAAACACATGACGGATCTGACATAGAATTAATGATAACGTTTACAAATACCAGAGTTTCATTCATTCTTTTTCGTCATAGTTTTGTAAAATAAATTTCTTTTTTTATTTTTACATCTGGTTTGTGGTTATATAACATGATGAATGGTGAAAATTTGTCATTTGTACTATGCTAGTTTTTACCAAGTTATTATTTATTATGTTATGTCGTGAACGCTACAAATCAACGTACGTATACGGGAGAAATGAGATTTTGTCGTCATTGTGAGATTGTGGGTAAAGATTTATACTGTCGTGATTAAGAAAAGAAATCAGTGACAGTGCAAGTTTTTGATGGTTTCTATTCTTTTTCTTTTTTTTTTGCGGAAGAATACTTCCTATATAGATGCCCCTTTATTTAAAAAAATACCATTTCATTTTTAAAGCCGAATTCTGCTTATGCCGGTGCTAGGGTGCATCAACGGAAGATTGCACTTTCAAGTACTGTCTATGAGTAGGCTTAATAAAACCGAGCCTGCAACATTTCTAATTTTGCTATTTTGGACGTTCTTTATGGAATGCGTTTTTCTCTATTCCGTATAAACGAGAACGAAGGAACCGTCCTTTAAAAAACAAAAACAAACAAACAAAACAACAACTACAAAAACAACAACAAAAACGGAAAGTGTGTTAATGTTTGGGAATTATTCAGGCTTTTAATGCTGGTTGTAAATGCGTGGATAATCCTTTTCTAGAATAAATGGTGTTGTATTTATGACTAGTGAACGGGGGAGTAAGTTTTGACCCAATATGTGGCCGATAGTGAATCATATTCCAAATGGAAAATAGTTTCTTTTACTCACAATTGTTCGGACGAAACTGCCCAATCGAAACACTGTCTGCTAAATGTGTGTGTGTGTGTGTGTGTGTGCGTGTGCGTGTGCGTGTGCGTGTGTGTGTGTGTGTGTGTGTGTTTTAATATATGAGATATTTTCATCTACACTTAATTAAAATTAAATATTTTAATACATGTACTTTGAACAAGTGTTTGCGAATTTTCCCCATGTACATTCCCAATTTAGCAAAATGCCAATAAGATACCGAGGGCAAATTAGTAGAAAAAAATCTAGATAAATACTTGTCTGTGTAAGATGACAAACCAGAATAACATTATCGTATTCATTGAATATGCACGAGATTGCCTTTGCACAGTTTTCTATAATATTTCGATATTCTGGGGAAATATTCCTAAAATGTATTTCTATATTGTGTCACGTGGTTGGATAATATTCCAAACCAAACCTGAGATGTAACTGGTGGTAGATTAAGATGAAATGGAGTAACGAAAAACGTCGTCAATACTGCTAGATGACCCCCTAAAATTAGTAAAGCAAAGTCAACGTTAGCGTAAATTGTGTACTTTTTGATAAAATACATGTATTTTGACAGTGACGTTAGTACTTTAATGAGTTCGTGATCTTTCCCTAAGCAATGTACCAGATTATGTTACCGGAAGAGCATTTTAACCTCAGACGATTCTGTCATAATAACTCTGTTACCGAGACTCATTACTAATTGCTTTCTTATAACTTCCTTATTCAATTTTAACTTGCATTATGGCCTTGGGCATCAATCTTCTTTAATCAATTTAAATGTTCTTGGGGCTTTGTTTAACCGCAAAATATTTTCAAATTTCCGTGTTTCAATCTGTTTTAAGAAAAGCAAAAGGAAACAAGAAGTATCTTTTAAAAAAAGATACTAGGCCGAAGTATAACTGGTTAACTTGATATATGTTAGTTCTTAGTTTTCCATGCAAAGTCATATAGAAATGTTAGCATAGCTTGCATAACAATGACATAATACTTTCTTGTAAGGTAATTAATCTTGAAAAATGGTACATGTATGTGTTTTTTCATAACGGACCTGCCGTGTTTCGGTAAGAGAACTCAATTTCTAACACCACAACTACGCAGTCGGTAGGCTTTCTTATAAATATTTGATAAATATGCAAAAATATATGAAAATTATAAACATTATATCAATTAAAGACATCAATAATCATATAATTTATTAGACAGTTATTGAACATCATAAACTTAGGGTACCTGATAAGTTCTGATATTATTCTCGTTATTTTTTACAAAATTTAAAACTCAGATATTGTGTAAAATGAACGCAGTAAACTCTTACGAAAAATAAACTGTTCACTAGAAAATGTTATGTGATCTGAATGCAGTGTAAATGTTTCGTGGGAGGAAGTATTAATAAACAGAACTTAAATATCTGAGCAATTTAACTAGAAAGTCAAAGAAATACCCTGTATATTTTATTTTAGAACTATGTATCCTTAACGTTTTATTTTATAACGACAAGAACTATTATTTGCATTATTTTAGAACTAACTTAGAATGACAATAATTTCATTTTACTTTCATTTTATTTAAGAATGCCCAATAACGTTTCCAGATTTTATTTTGTAATTTTAAAATGACCACGTGAAGCTCATTGGTCATTCTAAAATAAATTGTAAATAAAATGTAAAGAATAGTTCTTGTCATTGTAAAATAAAATGTAAAGGATATTGCTAAAATGAAATGTACAGGATAGTACTTTAACTTTCTAGTTAAATTGCTGAGATTAACCATGCTTCCTCCCACCAAACATTTGATCTCAAGATATTTTCTAGTGAACAGTTTATTTTACATAAGAACTTACTAAGTTTATTTACTGAGTTATAAATATTGTTTAAAAATAACGAGACCACCAATGACGTTCACTATCCTGTAAGTTTACTAAGTTTACATGAACATCAAAAGCACACCAAACTTTCTAGAACTTTTCAGTGCACCCTCAGGTTATGATGTTCAGTAAGTTGATGTGTTCAATTGATATAATATTTATAATTTCAAATTTTATTATCCTTCTGTTTCTGTTTGCAATATTTCATTTGTGATTCTTTAAATAGTACTGTCAATATTGCATATGATTACAAAATCTATGAAGTCAAATCTTCAAAATAAGTGCAAGTAATAGGGACACTTAAATAAATACTGTAAAATGGAAGTTGTCCTAATTTGAGGAGAAAGCAATATCAATATGCTTATAATCTAATTTCTATGTTTTCAAAATGTGTTTTTCTTACCTACAAAAAATTATCATTGTTATGTTAGCATTGCTAGCAATCGAAAACTAAGAAATAACATCTGCAAGTCTTGTGAATTACAGGGACAGAACCGAAGTTGGATCGAATATTTAAATAAGTGTTATAACATATTCATAATTGACTCGTCGGTAAAATCAGACTTCATAATTAGTTCATGGTAATCAGATTAGGCATTATACAATGCTAAATTTTACACCAGGAGATTGATTATTACGTTACCAAGATCAGCTTAACCTAGTACCTATTCCAAATTAGCAGTTGCTTATCTGGTTTTGTTCCAGACATATAACACATGCTGAGGCTCCCTTGTTTGTAGTGACATTTTCGTGCACACATTTTGTTTCATTCTGGACATTTTTGGCAAATCTATATTTTGTATTGAAAGACTGGCAGGGGTAATTCCAGGATGGACTTGTTTGTATCAGACAATTTGTTTTATGCGAATCTTTCTCGTTTGTGACAGACATTCCATGCATTACTGATGTTTCTGTTCGACACCTTTTCTGTAGCCCTATGTAGCTAGAAGTTTTGGTGGCTTTGCTGCGTGAACACCGCTTTCCGCCGTTGATCATTGCATTCATATTAATCTGTTAAACTTGCACGGGATTCCCGTCAATGCAGTAGCATAGGTAGCATGTGATAGATAACTTTTATTTAGCTTGTAAACCACATGTAATGATATGCATGTCAAAATGTTGATG